TGTGACGTGTGTTTTTCTCGTGGACCTTACAATTTTACCTGTCACAGTGGACATGTTTGTGTATATTGTTGATGTGTGACTTTTTAAGAGATTTTTCTGATATATTCAGCATAAATTCAGAATAAATTCAATAATTATGTACTAAACAAAATTAAAGGCAGGCTCGAGGTCTTGTATTTATAACATCATGTTCAGTTAAACCAGAAACTCATAAGGGGTTAAAACGTGTAACTCTCAGATGTTTGCTTTGTCCGATGCTCGTGATTATTCATTCTGGAAAGTACCATATTTGGAATGAGATAAAGAGATAACGGACCAATCAAACTTCGTAAACAACGTGACGTAGTTTTACTTCAGGTTCCCGTGCCTGCTGAAAAAAATGTCTGACAAATGGGGGAAAACTCAGAAAGCTAAGAAAGCTTTCAAAGGTTGAAACCAGGAATCTTACCGAAACACTGAGCAGGATATTGTTGCCTTACCACCCAGGCCAAACGTAACATTATGAAACCCTTTGACGTCCTCACAACTTCTTGAAGTTGTCACTTCAAAAAATGATGCCTTGTTGACCCTCTGCACAGTAAACTTATAATGCAAATAGGCTTTTAAATTCTTATATTAAAAGTCTAGAATAAACAGTAAAAAATATTTTCAAATATAATTGATTAGCTGCGTATCGAAAAGTGTCCAAAACCTTCACTGCCTTGGTTGCATTTCCCATACAAAACAGACCAGAGATCCGTCATGAAGAAAACAAAGTTGAATTCCTTGAAGGACGATTGCTTGATGAAAAGCTTCCCTTCCGCCACAAAAAGAAAGCTGAGCATTTTTTGAACATTCTCTTTCCATTTTTTGTCTTTTAACGGTGTATTTTTAAGCCTGAAATGCAGAACTCTTGTCTTAAAACTTCTGCATGGTGATCGTGCGGCAGCCATTGTGTTGAAAATCGATATCTTTTACAGGGTTAGCAAATACGCCAAATCTGGCGTATTTTACGCCAAAATTGTTCAGATGACTCCGCCGAGGTTACGGAGAGAGTCACTTCACCTCCAGAAATTTTCGGTAAGAAACACAGTTTTGTCCTTACCTTTTTCGCGACAAATACAATTTGTGTTAATATATTATTGTAAACGTTGCAAACCTTAATTAAATCATCGAAATTAAAGAATTATACTGCACGACAAAACAGGAAGAGGGTAAATTATGATCAAGTTTACTCGATGACCGCCATCATGCATTTGAGCTTTCCAGGTCAGCGGACTGCCACAGCTACTTAGTGTTACTCTCACGATAATGTATGCATGCCAGGACCACGTGCTGGAAAGGCTGAAAATGGCTTTTTGCGTTGTGATAATTGACTCCAAATATTCCAAAATGACTCCAAAATTTGTGAAGCAGAAGTCACACTGACTCCACCCATCAATAAAATTTGCAAACCCTGTGTCGCTAAGGTTTCCAAATATGGTAAAAGTGAATATCCACAAGCACTGAACGCGAGTTACACGTTTCAACCCCTTATGAGTTTCTGGTTAAACATAAAGGACATTTCAGTTACGGTTTTTGCCTGTTGTCGTTACAGGAAGATAATAAATTGTTGTTTGTACTGTTGTTTACGTTGTACTTTTTTATGTTTTTAATTTATCATAGATTGGATCATGAAAACTTAATTGGGTTTATTTTCTAAGGCGTGCGACATGTTTAGAACAAAAAGAAAGCACTTTTTAGTATTCAGTAAATACCAATGAAAATCAAAAATCTCTCAAGCGCGTGGCTTTGGTTTTTATTAATTTTTCTTTGACTGTTATTGATGTTATTGATTATTGATTTTTGATTGAATGGTGTCGTGATTTTGATTGAATTGTATCGTCGGGTGCATTTGGATCCAGTTGAACTGACCTTATTTAAAGGTTTGTCTACCTGCCCTGGTTTTTGGATCAATGCTAGCATTAAATTTGTGTGAAGAGAATTTTCCTGCTTTATATATAATAATCGTGGACTGTGCCTTGAAGTGATAAAATAATCATGTGCTATCAAGGTACAATATTAAAGCAGGAAGTGATCATCATCTAATCGATAATATTTCGTTACTCGATTAAAAATGGAACATAATCGACCACAATGTTATTGATACTAACTAGTATACCTAAATGGTAGAAATGCTGCCGTAAGCAAGGACTAGTAAAGAAATGGAAAATTAAGTGTGACGTTTTTAGTAGAAGGTGATATCAGGCTAAGATGGCTATCCAAAATCTTTGTCCCTCGGTCAGTGATGACCTAAATTTAGAAATTATCTTCCTTTTGAGTATCGTGTTTAAGGTGCATGACTAACTTAATTATGAGCTAGTTTTAGTATTTTTCTAACATGCTCGTGCCACGTCAAAAGTGGCCGGATAATTCTCGATTTTTGATATGTATAAGTTCAATCATTCTCGCTTTCAACTGAATGACTGAAATTTATTTTGAAGCTTTGATTTGACGATACAAGCAAATTTTCTAATTATGGTTTTCAGTCTTTCTGTTTGCGCAAAAATCGAGTGATTTAGAATAAATCACCTCCTCACGTCTTTGCTATCTCCAAGCAAGCGAGACTTCAACCCTTTTAGAGCGTTCTTGTCTTTTTAGGATGAATGCTCAAAATGTATTTTTTTTTCAGCTGCCTAAACTGAACAAATATTGTTTAGGGGTTGAACTGGCTCCGGCGCACCGGGTGATAAAAAAGCTCAAAATGGATCATCTGTGGGTCAACAAGCTATATCCCACTCCATGCCACAATGGCCACAGAATGTGATTACAAAACAAAAAGGGCATGCTAGTGACTGAAATTCTGAACACATGACTGTACTTGATAGAGAAATAAACATCTTCTAGAAATTGCATGTAAAAATAAGTTATAGTGCATGAAATTAGAGGAATTAACTTTTGGGACACTCTGTAGTTAACCTTTAAAAACATGTATCTACATTTTGGTTGGACTGAAATTCTTTGAAATGAATATGTGGTAAAAATTTGCCTTTAGTTCAGTTCGGCCAAACAAGTGATCACCAATGACAAACTGAAAGAAAACACAGTATTACTGCTGATTGCAGTGTATGAAGTAGACTGCAACTTTTCAGTTCTAAGTGACAAAAGGAGTCTTTCATAGATTACAAGAGCTGTTTTGATTGTAAAAAACATGATTCAAAATAATTTCCATTCCAACATGTAAGTTCTTACTGAAATTGAAAATTATGTAAAAGATTGAGATTTCTTTTTTTAGATCTGCCATTAACAAAATACTTGTGGCTTACATGTGAAAGTCAGTGAGGAAAATTTCCTACGATAAATACACACATCTTGTGTATAATTTAAGCTGTGTGTGATTGCTCGTGTAAAATTTGACAGGCATATATTTTGCATGTAAATCCGCCATATTGTATGCAATTTACACGTGTGTAAATGCTGCAAATCTCGTGGCTTGTACTGTAAGTTCAGTTTACCTATTTTCCTTGGGGTCATTAGTTCATGGCAGTGGGAGAATTTTTAACAAAATCATGTACAGGTTCTTGTATATCCTATTGCCACGTAGATGTTTGTAAAGTTTGGACAATCTTTTAAGTTGTTAGCATTGTATGGTTGCAAGAAACTAAATTGTAAGGATGAACTAAAATATAATTTCCATGTTACTAGATCATGTTATGATCATGCAGCCAGATCATCTCACATCTTGAAGGATAAAGAGTGATAATTAAAGATTGTTATTTCAAGTTATAGTGTCTTGTTTTTTTTTTCCCAGAATCTTGATGATATTGATGAGACTTTAACTGAGAGGCTGTTAGGGTTAACAGAAATGTTTCCAGAGTCTGTACGCAATGGCACAAGTACTGCAGCAAAGGGAATGTTCAGTAGTGCTAAGTGGCTTTACAAATTCACTGGCAAGACATGCTGGATTCTGAGTACTTCATTTGTCATACTGGCCTTACCTGTCATTTTTGAGGTAGAAAGGGTGCAAACAGAGGAAGCACAACTTCAACAACAGAGACAAGTAAGTTTATTTCATACATGTTCAATGGGGTACATGTATGCTACATACGGAAATGAATTATAGCAGAGCGTATTTTCTGTTGAAACTGAGTTCTAGGTGGTGATCTGTCAAAACCTCCTCAACAATCTGGGGTGCGTGGAGTCATATTAAATCGAGTAGGTTTGTGCGTAGGTGTAACTCGACCTGATGTTTAGAGAAGAAGGAGAGAAGAGAGTGAGAGAGGCCGAGGATAACGTGTCCAAATCAAATAGAGTTACTGATAATGAAATGTATAAATTAGCGACTTTCGGATTGAATAACTCATCGAGTTTGACTTGTGGAGAGTCTGACCTTTAATAATATTATAATTTTGTTTTTTCACTATTTAAAACAATTTTTGCAGTGTTTTGAAGGTTTAGGTCAAGTAAAAAAATCATCAGACTTAAAACCTACACAAGTCTTGTCTGGCAGTACAACCAGCAGGAATTGATATTCTTCCAAGATGCCTTAAGAAACTAAAGCAACAGTCAGCTGCAACAGTTTTTAATTATCAGGAAAAGTAAACTTAAGCATCATGTTGAAAATAAGCCTGTCGTCCTGGGACAAATTTGTAAAATCACTCTCTTTTATAACCAGCTATGAAAAGTGCAACATCTTTTTGACTTACATGTAAGATTGAACTACTTATTCTGACTAATTCTTCTTAAAAATCAAGACCAAACATCATGCTTATGAAATTAGAAAAAAGACAGCATTATTAAATCCCAATTGCCACACGTGTAACATAATTATGATATCTGAAACATTGACAGATATGATCTCGAATCTTGAGTTGTGTCTTGTCTCTTATCAATAGCGTAACGTTACAATTTATTTTAGTCAAGAAACAAAATTTACTTCTTTTTATCCAACCGTCTGAAAGAGCCTCTTGGAATTTCCTCTACTAAATGCCCTTAAAGATGACCTTTTGAAGCAGACTGTTATCTACTTGGAGCTCTGTCGTCTCAAGCAAGATTGCGAAGTTCGGGTGTAAATATTTAAACACTGATATGAAACATATAAGCACCATTGTCCATTAAATTCAGCTTTGTTTGTCATGGTGCTGGCAATTAACCTGAGACCAGGCGTAGTTTTTTTTTTGGCTTCTTTGCTTCTTTGGCTCGAGAGGGAAAAAAATTACGCCTGATACATTTACTTAACAAGCCATCAACCGCCCCCTAATTTACATAATCTAACGTGTGCTTAGCCTGTCACGTTATTAGCCAATCAGCGTTCAACAAAAGGGAATCAAATTTTGGCGGGAATAATGTCTCTTTCGAAATAAATTTTAGGGAAAAGAAAACGTTTAAGTACGTTCAGATGGCGCTTCCTACGAAAAATTTTGAAATCTTTTTTTTGTGACGAAATACTGCTAGTTGGAGCTGCCGTACCTTTATTTAACAGCTACAAATAATAAAGAATTTACAGGTAAAAGCTCGTTGACTTCGTTATGTGCCGAAAGCTCTGAAAAAAAAATTAGGCCGAAGCACCATATTTAACGAACTGAAAAGTGTTGTGAAAGCGATGATCGCTCAGAATAATTCGCAGGTTTCTGAAGGAGGAATGACAGGAATTACAGTCAAACCAGGTCTAACCTGAGATCAGGCTCTATTTTCGTTTCGCTTTGAAAATTACATTCCGGCGGGCAAGATGAAACAAAATGAAAGCGGTAGCCGTTAGAGAGAATGTATGAGAACCGCTCAAATTGGGCCTGATCTCAGGTTAAACCAGGTCAAGATTCCATTCATGAATTAATTATTTGAAGAGTGAAGCCGTTTGTCGCTTCTGTAACTTGTAGCGGTATCAAATTGAATTCAAATGATCGGTGAAATTTTGACTGCAAATGGAAAATACTTCAATGGATGAAATTTCTATTTAGACATTTTTCAAACTTGCAAGAAAACTGAACCGGCAGAGATTTCATAACGAACTCGCGTGTGCACTGCTCATTACGCAAGCAATAATGCAGACTGAAATCAACAACAACTAATGGATGGCGGCGTTTTGGCCAATCGGAACAGCGCAAATCATCCGTATTGTATCCTATCCAATCAGAAAAAAGTCCAGATTCTGGCTTTTTTGCATGTGATCTGTGAAAGAAATGTATCATGCCCTCCTCCCGAACACAGATTACAGAGATAAAGGGAGAGGGAATGATCGCAGGCTAGCTGGCAATAGGAGTTCACATTCCAAATAATCAAAGCACTGTCAACAGCAATTGATAGCATGACTTGAATGGAGAATTCAAAAACAGGGCATGCCAGTGGTCAACCTACAATAAGGAAAGAAAAAAATGTTTGTTATACTCACTAATCGAGTCGATCAAAAACAAGCAACAGCAGCTGAAAATAAACTTTTCTGTTTAAAGAAATATGTACCTCGAAATATTTCACCAGACTTGCCAATAGCCTAGAACATTATCAGTCAATTTTCAGAAGTTCAACCTTAGTATGAACTGCAGAAAATTACGCGTATCATTGTCATCCCAAAAAAAGAAACGAAAAACACATTTTAGTCATCTGACTTGTTGAACAGCACAAAGACATTGACAGGAGCGGAAAAAAGTCGCCAAATTCGACAAATTTTAGCAGCATTCATAGACATTCATAAAGGTCACGTATGGGGAGACTGATTTCAGATGTGTCATGGCAAAATCAGTAAACAAGCTTAGTTCTACTGCATTGAAGAGGGAAAAAAGACATGCTTATCTGAGTCATTGTAACAATTTTAATATGCTTGAAGGCAGAACGCCACAAAACATACATAGAAATTGCATTGGCTGGAAATTGAAAGAATAAAATTGTAAGAAAAAAGTTAGTCTGGCTGCAAACAAGATTCGAACCTGCCAAAAAAACCTCATGTAAGCTACTTCTGCTTGCCAATGTTGCATGCTAGACCTCTAGGCAGTCCATGGAGAGGCTGTTACGTTGGTGCTATTTTTAAAAAGTGTATCTCGGTGCTTTTTACAGATCATTGTTAGCCCTATTTTGTCTATATAGGTTGGGTTTTTCATCCTAGAAAATCAAACACGATTTATGTTGACAAACATATGGATTAGCACGATTTACAACAGATTCTTGACAGTTTTTTCAGTTTTCACGATTTTGTTGTGTTACAGTAAAGTAAGAGACAGTAAGCCCCTTTTATTGAGCTATTTTTGAGCTATTTTGAACGAATATCTCATATGTGAGTGGCCTAACACTTGAATTTAGTAGTTTTAGCAAATTCTGCGATTTTTGGAAAAGTCACAGAAATTGTATTTTTTGCTGGGCACCCTTCTACCTTCTGTAGCACTTGAATTAATTAATTTTAGCAAATTCTGCCATTTTAATTTTTAATTTTAGACAGTTTTTTGCACCCCACCTCTTCTAACACTTTAAGAGTGACCATCTTTTGATTTTCAATCAAATTGTTAAAAAAGAATGGTTTCGTGGTTAGATCAATGTTTGAAAACATCGTTCAATCATGAAAAACATAGATGTTCATTAGCCAACTTTTCGAGTTACCTTTGTATGGACATTTTCAATAGTTATTTCAGACAAAAAGACTTTGTGAGCATCAGTGCCATTTGCCATTCTTAATAGTTCTTATTTTAATAAATTATTTAAAGAATCAAGTTGCAGTTTCTCAATATTACAGCTAGACAAATGCTGTGATAACATTGTCGTTTTACAGTTTTCCACTTACATGTGACAGGAATAACACAACCCTCCACTAATTAACGCTCTCTGCAAACTTTCTTACTGCATTATTTATTTTATACTTTGAATAATGCTCACACTTCTCCTTTTCAACACAGAAATTAAACGTCTTTACCGCACTTTGTTGATCTCTGATTACTGTTACTAGTTCTTAAAAGTCAAGAGGCTGTTAATGAAAGTGTTAGAAATCCTCTCCGCTGGTAAATAAAAAAACAATACATACATTTTTAATCATTGTCTCATGCATGATTCATGTGGCCAAGACGTTTCTTAGAACAATTCTTGAAAAAGAACCTGCAGCAGCCATTTATCTTGTCTTTTTTACATTTTGCTAGCCTTAGTTAAAGGAGTCATGAAAGTGTGGAAAAATAAACAGTATACCATTTAACTGTATGAACCATGAAGTAACTTATTGTTACTTTGCTTTGCAGTTGAACTGCAAATTTCTTATAAATATTTGAGAATTCAAACAGCAGTTAATGATCAAAATAAGAACTGCGATTGTAAAAAAAATGCAGTGGAATCTTCATTGTGCAGCCATTCTTGGGGTACCCCTTAGACTGCCTAAACGTTGGCCGCTCAATAGCTGCAATGGAGCTTCTTCATTAATTAGTATAAATATCAGAAACATCCTTACATTTTGGATCAAACCTGACGGGAGCAGCATTATTGGTCCACAATCAGTCATTACCTACTATCTAGGACTGTATTTTCGTTCATTGTATGGTTTGAAAATAAAGCCAAATTAAGTTTATCAACCGCTTGGTGGCCTCTTGATAGAGGTGACAATAACAATGGGAGAACTCTTGCCGGGATGCTAAAAAGATGACGGTGGCCACTTAATAGAAAAGGCCGCGTAGTAGAGGTTTAATTGACAATTCGTTTCTATGATTATTTCAGGACCTTGATTACTGGCAGCTTAATAGGTGGCTGCTTAATGGAGGTTCAACTGTATGATAATGTTGATCATACTGGGCCTTCTTTCTTGCAAATGGCCCTCTTGAATTTCAGGATGGTGTCCATGGGGCCCTCATTGGCTAATTCCTTGAATAAACCCTGATGTCATGTTGACTGTTGTATACCGTTCACACCATTTTTTTTTTCTTGCTAAAATTAATTGTTATTCAATAAATGCTTATTTTTCTCTCTCTTCTCAAGATTCTTCTCGGCCCTGGAAGCACTGCTGGAGGAATGGGGCTTCCTCCTGGATACCCTGCGCCACAGCAACATAGAAGTTAAAGATCTCATGATACCACAACCATGTACCATGTATGACCTCACAGCTAGTTGCCAGGCAGCTTAAGTTATTGATTTCTTTCTTTCACTTTTTGGTTTAGCCTGAAAATAAAGAGTCCAGATAGATACGTTAAATTTTTAATGAAACTTGACACCCTAAGGTACCACAATAATGTCGATAGGTTGGTAAGGATTTTTGAAGTGGAATCTCATTGTTGTGAAAATGGTTACTTTATTAACTATGGTCTGAAGTGGAATACATTAACACCGATAATGTCATAACGTTTTGTCTTTATCTCATGAATAAAATGCAGGAATTCCCATTTAGATAAAACGCTGTGCTATTTTTATGTGGGTTAACCGGTGTGATATTGCGGAACTCCGCAGCGGAGCAACATGGGTAAAGAAAAAACACACGACCGTCCGTACCTACATATAAGGCGGTGTGAAATTTCTCATTCAAGCACCGGTGCGTTTTGGCGGCATTTCGTATGACCACCCGGACTTTTAGAGAGAAAAAGACAACAAAGCCGAGTCTTTTCGCGACTAAATTTTAATTATGTCCACACTGATGTGGATAACAGAGAAAGAGTTAAAGCGAGAGATAAAAAGCAAAGGAGACGAATTTCGTTGTAAGAACAACAAAAATTTTATAAATCCCCGTGCAAACGGACGTAACATTTTTGCCCAAAAACTCCCAGCATTGGTGGATGTTGCTTCGGTTTGCACACTCCCTTGCATGTTGATGCTTGTCGTTGGGAGTTGTTGCACAAAGTTTGAAACCGGTCAAACTTTTTAGCCAACAACTCCCAACAGTTCTTTTGTTACGTGACCGCTTAAGGGTAGCGCAACAATGTTGGATCCGTTTGCACTGCTCTTCCCACATTGTTGGGGCGCGCCACGTACGCGCATGGTTTTATGAGTTGTATCCTTCACACGCCATCGCACAGAAGCTGTCAGTTTCTAACGGCAATGGCTTTTCGAACAGAAATTTAAAACCAAACGCGAAAACTCGCACTTAACACCAGCATTTTCTATTAATCGGGGCTTCTGGTCAAAACGTGCGGAAGCCTCAATTACATCGATCACGGAGGACAACTAACTGTCGAAAAGGCTCCGAAATTCCGTCCAGGGATCCATCGATTTTTTGCGTTAAAAACGTGCCCACATATGGAACTTAGCGGCAGAAGAACTTCTCAACCACTTAAAAGGTGGCTCGTGTGGATTTTTTGGCGAGGGATATCTCCCGAGTTTGAGCATTAACTACGTCGGCATGAGTAAAGATATGGGAAAAAGGTTACCACAACTGTATTATAGAAAGATGAAAATTTCTTGTGATCTGGGTTTTTTGATTCCATTGAAAACTGCCTACAACAACAAAGAGGGGAATTGCTCTAGGTGATCGCGAGTAAGAAGAATTTTATTAACTTGCATTCAGCTGCTTTTGTTATAGTTTTTGCACGTAATTTGGTCCATGCCTACAAATTTCGCAGTTTTTCAAAAATCTGCTCGATAAGTTTTCTCATAAATTTGACAATTTTGAGATCAATCGCATCTCATTGATATGAGATGAGTCATCGATATGTCAGCGGCGTCTTACAAAATGACTGAAATGATCCCTCGGACTTCCGCTCACTTGATCGATCCCAGCGAAGATGTTATATTTGAGTTAGTTTGAGTTCTAAAACGGTCAATACTGTCGTTTCCAGTTTATATCACTAAAAAAATGTTGAATCTGTAATAGACTCAGCTGTATTGCATTGAACGACGCGGCTTATGGTCTTCCCAACGACGGCTGGCTTCGGTCGATGTTATTTAGTGACAACACGTCACGAAATCCTATCTAACATCGACGAAAAAACGGAAATAAAATAAATCCCGCGAGAGTGCATATCCCACCCCAGTTTTATTGCTGTCATTTGAGTCTTAAACAGTAGTTTTCCTGCTTTTCGACTTTCTCCCAAGGCCTTTTTTCTTCCCTCTCCTCGTGTTTCCATTCCCCTTCCTATTCCGGTTCTGCATTCCTATTCTCTTTTTTTCCCCTTATTTTTCGTATGTACTAAATAAGAATTAAATCCAAATTAAAGTAAGTTAAGATAATTGTTGTCCCTATGTTTATATAAGTTCCTCGTTCCATTACGGTTCCTATTCCTGTTCCTGTTCCTATTCCCGTTCCTATTCCGGATTCCGGATTCCGGTTTCCCGATTTTCCAGACGCCCCGCCTAAAGCTGGTTTCGCTGCCGTTGAGCAGTTTACTTTAGATATTGGTCACCTTGAGAAAAGTTTCCCGGAGAGCATCATGTAAAGCTCTGAGATGGGACAAAGTTATTACGATTCGCAGAGTCTGCATCGTCCAATATCGTATCATATTCTCGTTTCATTTAGCTAAACGGATCAATCACCCTGATCCGGGCAAACACAGAAAGGGACGCTATTGTTCGCTTTTTTAGTGACCACTAAGTCTTTGGCCTCGGGAACAGGCTCTTAGGAGTCAAATGGATTAGGTGCGAGCAAAATTGCAGGCGAACTTTGACCCGGGCCAAGACTTAGGTTTTTTCTGGTGTGAAAATAAGGCTAAGGTGGTCCCCGCCGACGGTGTGACTACATCCGGGAACTTGAATAAGACGAGTGTTAAAGAAACGTCGAGAGGTCTTTATTTGCCAGTAGGCTGAGTTTTTCCGAATTATTCGATGATCTTTCGCTTATATTGAGCGTGAGAAGATTATGTGTGGTTGTGGATAGTCTTATCAGTGACGAGAAAGTGTGTGATTTCCGCATGGTGTTGACAGGTATGTGATCGCGTGGTTGAACTGCCGTTTGCCCAAAATATTCTGTGCAAGCCATTAATCATGATTAATACTGTTTCGTCGGTGTTTAGCTTAGCTTATTGTACCTTGTAAAAGCAACTCTCGACGTAGGAAAATTGGATGTAGGTCTAGTTTCAGCGGGCTCTAATGGCATTGAACCATAGGCCGATTTTGGAAGATAAGAAGGTGATAATTTGTGCGAAGAAAGTTGTCTTTTGCTAGCTGTTAAAGTTGTTATGTAAGCCTTAACCAGGCACTCTTTCGCTGCAGCTCACTCAACTTAAAAATTTCTAGACTTTCACGGCAGGTGAAAGACGTTTTTTCCAGAATGAAATGTACTTACATCCTCTTACATGAGACATCACAAGAGTCCCAGGGACATTTCCAGGAGATCTCCATCATCTCGCTTGTTTCTTCGCACACGTCCTTTTTTCCCGTTTTTTTCTTACGCGAATGCATCCTTTTCTAAAAGTGCTTGTTTGGAGTCAAGAATTTCATAAAAGTATGAAGAAAAAAAATTATGCTGAGCAGCAAAACCCTCCCCGGGTCTAGCCTGCGAGCAAGGTCTCTCACTGCCCCACCCCACCCAATCGTCCCCCCAATCCCGGCAGCAAGAGACCTTGCTCGCTGGCTAGACCCCCCTCCCTTCCCTTCCCTTCCCTTCCCTCCCCCCTCCCATCCCTCCTGTTGTGAAATCGTATATTGCGTTACGCTCGTTTGTATTTTTGTTTAATTCGTTAATTTTTTACCAGTTTGACATATATCATTATTATCACAGTTGTCTAGCCCCGGAGTTTTTTTACCAGATCTAATCGGAGAGTACAAGGAGTTTTTTACGGAGTTATTTCATTCAGTTTTTTTCTGTTTTGTTGTTCCTTTCTTTAATACGCTTGGAGGAACTATAACGTAAGTTCTTTTCCATTTTTGTCCTTCATTTTAGGTTTGTTTTACGCTCGATTTCCTTTTAATTTTAGTTATATTTTCTTGCGTAACGCGTGTCTATGTATGTTTTCAGTTCTCACCATATCCTTCATTGATACTGCAATAAACGAACTTTAATCGAGTACGGAGCGTGTGGTTGATCACAGCGAACTCCACCGGTGGGAACGCGACACCTCCCCTTCCCTTCCCTCCGCCCTCCCATCCCTCCGCACTCTACCTATCCACCTACCCCCCTCTACGTATCTACCTATCTACCTATCTATCTATCTATCTATCTATCTATCTATCTATCTATCTATCTATCTATCTATCTATCTATCTATCTATCTATCTATCTATCTATCTATCTACCTACCCATCTACCTATCTACCTACCCGCCTCGCGCCTGCTGCCCTCCCCCCCGGCCCGCCCCCGGGCCGGTGTACCAACTTCCGCTTCCCATACCCTTCCCAAGGCCTTTTTTCTTCCCTCTCCTCGCCCCAAGCCCTCCCAGATCCAAGCCGGGCTTTTTTTTTTTCCTTTTTCATGCTAATCAGGCGGGACTCGAACCCGACACCTCTTTGTTTTCCAGTTAATTACCAATTCAATGCTTATGCCAATTGCGCTATCCCGGCTCGGTTACAAATTCAATGGTTTTTTTGTATGTTATTCATATGCAAATCAAATTCTTGCCCCTCATTGGCTGTTGAAAATAATGACATCATGAACCTTCGGCCCAGAGGTCCCTGAGGTTCCACAGGTCCCAGAACCAAAACAAACCAAAGTTTACCAAACATAATGGAAACTGTAGCCTTGTCGGCTTTGCAAAAAGCTTCTGTTCATTGGATTCTTGTATCTTTCTGAACGCTCGTACATTTAAAAAAAGCACTTAGCGCTTTCACGCTTTTCCGACGGGCAATTTTGATCTTCGCTGTACGTTTTGTATGACATTAAAATACTTGAAATGTCCGTCGGTGCGTTTGCTTTCAGTTGTGATCACAAGAAACAGCTTCTGTACGGTTAAGAGTGATCAACATCAATTTACATTCTCGCTATATATCCTACCACTGAACAGTATCAATCATAAAAGGCTGAAAATAGAGGAAACTGCTCAGCAGGGGAAAACATTGTGATTTCTAATCAAATTCTCCTCGTTAGCGCCAGATGAACGGTAAAGGAATGAGTATGGAGAATGTACATGTTAATCTCACGCCATTTACAAGTGTTCCTGCAACAAGCAAAATTGATCTGATAAATGAAAAACGCGAAGGTTATGTCACTTTTGATGGATTTGGAGCCAGCAATATGACCCTTCGAAAACAAGAAAAACTGCGTTCTTCTCTAACTAGGCAACTACAGTACCCTAGTCTGAATCTTGTACCCTTATAACTGCAATAGGAAATCTGCAAGTAGCACTGTAAATCATACTAAAATGCTACCGATGCGACCGAAAACTTGTAATAGAATCATGAAATCAGACTGAAAGATCAAAACAAGGTAATATCCTGCGTGTCCTACGGCAGGTGAAAGACGTTTTTTCCAGAATGAAATGTACTTACATCCTCTTACTTGAGACATCACAAGAGTCCCAGGGACATTTCCAGGAGATCTCCATCAGTTTCGAACTTGACCCAAAAGTCATTTGACAAGATGAACCAAACAAACATTGTTTGGCCCGCCTATTGACGTTTAGAAATTCCATCAGGTCGTGTTTCTTTCGCAGGCAAGGTTAATTCAAGCTATTTCCAATCCAATCTTAAAATCAGGCTGTTAAATGTCCCCAAGGCCCATGACTAATAAAGAAAATTCTCCAACTTCAGAGCAAGAACCGTTTGGAACTTTATGGTCTATTTATCCACTGCATTAAAGAAAAGGAAAGTGCTATAGTAGACTAACTCGCGAAGTTGAATGTGGGAAAAAGCGTCCTGAGGGTCTCAAGGTGCGGAGAAGTTGATCCCAAGTAATAACAACAGTATAATCATAAATTTCGCTTGTTTCTTCGCACACGTCCTTTTTTCCCGTTTTTTTCTTACGCGAATGCATCCTTTTCTAAAAGTGCTTGTTTGGAGTCAAGAATTTTATAAAAGTATGAAGAAAAAAAATTATGCTGAGCAGCAAAACCCTCCCCGGGTCTAGCCTGCGAGCAAGGTCTCTCACTGCCCCACCCCACCCAATCGTCCCCCCAATCCCGGCAGCAAGAGACCTTGCTCGCAGGCTAGACCCCCCCCTCCCTTCCCCTTCCCTTCCCTTCCCCATCCCTCCCTCCCCTTCCCTTCCCTCCCTCCTCCCATCCCTCCGCCCTCTACCTATCTACCTACCCCCCTCTACGTATCTACCTATCTATCTATCTATCTATCTATCTATCTATCTATCTATCTATCTATCTATCTATCTATCTATCTATCTATCTATCTATCTATCTATCTATCTATCTATCTATCTATCTATCTATCTATCTACCCATCTACCTATCTACCTACCCGCCTCGCGCCTGCTGCCCCCCCCGGCCCGCCCCCCGGGCCGGTGTACCAACTTCCGCTTCCCATACCCTTCCCAAGGCCTTTTTTTCTTCCCTCTCCTCGCCCCAAGCCCTCCCAGATCCAAGCCGGGCTTTTTTTTTTTTTTCCTTTTTCATGCTAATCAGGCGGGACTCGAACCCGACACCTCTTTGTTTTCCAGTTAATTACCAATTCAATGCTTATGCCAATTGCGCTATCCCGGCTCGGTTACAAATTCAATGTTTTTTTTGTATGTTATTCATATGCAAATCAAATTCTTGCCCCTCATTGGCTGTTGAAAATAATGACATCATGAACCTTTGGCCCAGAGGTCCCTGAGGTTCCACAGGTCCAAGAACCAAAACAAACCAAAGTTTACCAAACATAATGGAAACTGTAGCCTTGTCGGCTTTGCAAAAAGCTTCTGTTCATTGGATTCTTGTATCTTTCTGAACGCTCGTACATTTAAAAAAAGCACTTAGCGCTTTCACGCTTTTCCGACGGGCAATTTTGATCTTCGCTGTACGTTTTGTATGACATTAAAATACTTGAAATGTCCGTCGGTGCGTTTGCTTTCAGTTGTGATCACAAGAAACAGCTTCTGTACGGTTAAGAGTGATCAACATCAATTTACATTCTCGCTATATATCCTATCACTGAACAGTATCAATCATAAAAGGCTGAAAATAGAGGAAACTGCTCAGCAGGGGAAAACATTGTGATTTCTAATCAAATTCTCCTCGTTAGCGCCAGATGAACGGTAAAGGAATGAGTATGGAGAATGTACATGTTAATCTCACGCCATTTACAAGTGTTCCTGCAACAAGCAAAATTGATCTGATAAATGAAAAACGCGAAGGTTATGTCACTTTTGATGGATTTGGAGCCAGCAATATGACCCTTCGAAAACAAGAAAAACTGCGTTCTTCTCCAACTAGGCAACTACAGTACCCTAGTCTGAATCTTGTACCCTTATAACTGCAATAGGAAATCTGCAAGTAGCACTGTAAATCATACTAAAATGCTACCGATGCGACCGAAAACTTGTAATAGAATCATGAAATCAGACTGAAAGATCAAAACAAGGTAATATCCTGCGTGTCCTACGGCAGGTGAAAGACGTTTTTTCCAGAATGAAATGTACTTACATCCTCTTACTTGAGACATCACAAGAGTCCCAGGGACATTTCCAGGAGATCTCCATCAGTTTCAAACTTGACCCAAAAGTCATTTGACAAGATGGACCAAACAAACATTGTTTGGCCGGCCTATTGACGTTTAGAAATTCCATCAGGTCGTGTTTCTTTTCGCAGGCAAGGTTAATTCAAGCTATTTCCAATCCAATCTTAAAATCAGGCTGTTAAATGTCCCCAAGGCCCATGACTAATAAAGAAAATTCTCCAACTTCAGAGGAAGAACCGTTTGGAACTTTATGGTCTATTTATCCACTGCATTAAAGAAAAGGAAAGTGCTATAGTAGACTAACTCGCGAAGTTGAATGTGGGAAAAAGCGTCCTGAGGGTCTCAAGGTGCGGAGAAGTTGATCCCAAGTAATACCAACAGTATAATCATAAATTTCGCTTGTTTCTTCGCACACGTCCTTTTTTTCCCGTCTTTTTTTTTCTTACGCGAATGCATCCTTTTCTAAAAGTGCTTGTTTGGAGTCAAGAATTTCATAAAAGTATGAAGAAAAAAAATTATGCTGAGCAGCAAAACCCTCCCCGGGTCTAGCCTGCGAGCAAGGTCTCTCACTGCCCCACCCCACCCAATCGTCCCCCCAATCCCGGCAGCAAGAGACCTTGCTCGCAGGCTAGACCCCCTCCCCCCTTCCCTTCCCTTCCCTTCCCTCCCCCATCCCCCCTCCCTCCCTCCCTCCTCCCTTCCCTCCCTCCCCCTCCTCCCATCCCTCCGCCGTATCTACCTATCTACCCTATCTATCTATATCTATCTATCTATCTATCTATCTATCTATCTATCTATCTATCTATCTATATATCTATCTATCTATCTATCTATCTATCTATCTATCTATCTACCCATCTACCTATCTACCTACCCGCCTCGCGCCTGCCCTGCCCCGCCCCCCCCCCCCCCCCCCGCCCCGGGCCGGTGTACCAACTTCCGCTTCCCATACCCTTCCCAAGGCCTTTTTCTTCCCTCTCCTCGCCCCAAGCCCCCCCCAGATCCAAGCCGGGCTTTTTTCTTTTTTTTCCTTTTTCATGCTAATCAGGCGGGACTCGAACCCGACACCTCTTTGTTTTCCAGTTAATTACCAATTCAATGCTTATGCCAATTGCGCTATCCCGGCTCGGTTACAAATTCAATGGTTTTTTTTGTATGTTATTCATATGCAAATCAAATTCTTGCCCCTCATTGGCTGTTGAAAATAATGACATCATGAACCTTCGGCCCAGAGGTCCCTGAGGTTCCACAGGTCCAAGAACCAAAACAAACCAAAGTTTACCAAACATAATGGAAACTGTAGCCTTGTCGGCTTTGCAAAAAGCTTCTGTTCATTGGATTCTTGTATCTTTCTGAACGCTCGTACATTTAAAAAAGCACTTAGCGCTTTCACGCTTTTCCGACGGGCAATTTTGATCTTCGCTGTACGTTTTGTATGACATTAAAATACTTGAAATGTCCGTCGGTGCGTTTGCTTTCAGTTGTGATCACAAGAAACAGCTTCTGTACGGTTAAGAGTGATCAACATCAATTTACATTCTCGCTATATATCCTATCACTGAACAGTATCAATCATAAAAGGCTGAAAATAGAGGAAACTGCTCAGCAGGGGAAAACATTGTGATTTCTAATCAAATTCTCCTCGTTAGCGCCAGATGAACGGTAAAGGAATGAGTATGGAGAATGTACATGTTAATCTCACGCCATTTACAAGTGTTCCTGCAACAAGCAAAATTGATCTGATCAATGAAAAACGCGAAGGTTATGTCACTTTTGATGGATTTGGAGCCAGCAATATGACCCTTCGAAAACAAGAAAAACTGCGTTCTTCTCCAACTAGGCAACTACAGTACCCTAGTCTGAATCTTGTACCCTTATAACTGCAATAGGAAATCTGCAAGTAGCACTGTAAATCATACTAAAATGCTACCGATGCGACCGAAAACTTGTAATAGAATCATGAAATCAGACTGAAAGATCAAAACAAGGTAATATCCTGCGTGTCCTACGGCAGGTGAAAGACGTTTTTTCCAGAATGAAATGTACTTACATCCTCTTACTTGAGACATCACAAGAGTCCCAGGGACATTTCCAGGAGATCTCCATCAGTTTCAAACTTGACCCAAAAGTCATTTGACAAGATGGACCAAACAAACATTGTTTGGCCGGCCTATTGACGTTTAGAAATTCCATCAGGTCGTGTTTCTTTCGCAGGCAAGGTTAATTCAAGCTATTTCCAATCCAATCTTAAAATCAGGCTGTTAAATGTCCCCAAGGCCCATGACTAATAAAGAAAATTCTCCAACTTCAGAGGAAGAACCGTTTGGAACTTTATGGTCTATTTATCCACTGCATTAAAGAAAAGGAAAGTGCTATAGTAGACTAACTCGCGAAGTTGAATGTGGGAAAAAGCGTCCTGAGGGTCTCAAGGTGCGGAGAAGTTGATCCCAAGTAATACCAACAGTATAATCATAAATTTCGCTTGTTTCTTCGCACACGTCCTTTTTTCCCGTCTTTTTCTTACGCGAATGCATCCTTTTCTAAAAGTGCTTGTTTGGAGTCAAGAATTTCATAAAAGTATGAAGAAAAAAAATTATGCTGAGCAGCAAAACCCTCCCCGGGTCTAGCCTGCGAGCAAGGTCTCTCACTGCCCCACCCCACCCAATCGTCCCCCCAATCCCGGCAGCAAGAGACCTTGCTCGCAGGCTAGACCCCCCTCCCTTCCCTTCCCTTCCCCCTCCCATCCCTCCCCTTCCCTTCCCTTCCCTCCCTCCTCCCATCCCTCCGCCCTCTACCTATCTACCTACCCCCCTCTACGTATCTATCTATCTATCTATCTATCTATCTATCTATCTATCTATCTATCTATCTATCTATCTATCTATTATCTATCTATCTATCTACCTACCCATCTACCTATCTACCTACCCGCCTCGCGCCGCCTGCCCCCCCCGGCCCCCCCCGGGCCGGTGTACCAACTTCCGCTTCCCATACCCTTCCCAAGGCCTTTTTTTTTCCCTCTCCTCGCCCCAAGCCCTCCCAGATCCAAGCCGGGCTTTTTTTTTTTTTTTTTTTTCTTTTTCATGCTAATCAGGCGGGACTCGAACCCGACACCTCTTTGTTTTCCAGTTAATTACCAATTCAATGCTTATGCCAATTGCGCTATCCCGGCTCGGTTACAAATTCAATGGTTTTTTTTGTATGTTATTCATATGCAAATCAAATTCTTGCCCCTCATTGGCTGTTGAAAATAATGACATCATGAACCTTCGGCCCAGAGGTCCCTGAGGTTCCACAGGTCCAAGAACCAAAACAAACCAAAGTTTACCAAACATAATGGAAACTGTAGCCTTGTCGGCTTTGCAAAAAGCTTCTGTTCATTGGATTCTTGTATCTTTCTGAACGCTCGTACATTAAAAAAAGCACTTAGCGCTTTCACGCTTTTCCGACGGGCAATTTTGATCTTCGCTGTACGTTTTGTATGACATTAAAATACTTGAAATGTCCGTCGGTGCGTTTGCTTTCAGTTGTGATCACAAGAAACAGCTTCTGTACGGTTAAGAGTGATCAACATCAATTTACATTCTCGCTATATATCCTATCACTGAACAGTATCAATCATAAAAGGCTGAAAATAGAGGAAACTGCTCAGCAGGCGAAAACATTGTGATTTCTAATCAAATTCTCCTCGTTAGCGCCAGATGAACGGTAAAGGAGTGAGTATGGAGAATGTACATGTTAATCTCACGCCATTTACAAGTGTTCCTGCAACAAGCAAAATTGATCTGATAAATGAAAAACGCGAAAGTTATGTCACTTTTGATGGATTTGGAGCCAGCAATATGACCCTTCGAAAACAAGAAAAAACTGCGTTCTTCTCCAACTAGGCAACTACAGTACCCTAGTCTGAATCTTGTACCCTTATAACTGCAATAGGAAATCTGCAAGTAGCACTGTAAATCATACTAAAATGCTACCGATGCGACCGAAAACTTGTAATAGAATCATGAAATCAGACTGAAAGATCAAAACAAGGTAATATCCTGCGTGTCCTACGGCAGGTGAAAGACGTTTTTTCCAGAATGAAATGTACTTACATCCTCTTACTTGAGACATCACAAGAGTCCCAGGGACATTTCCAGGAGATCTCCATCAGTTTCAAACTTGACCCAAAAGTCATTTGACAAGATGGACCAAACAAACATTGTTTGGCCGGCCTATTGACGTTTAGAAATTCCATCAGGTCGTGTTTTGTTTCGCAGGCAAGGTTAATTCAAGCTATTTCCAATCCAATCTTAAAATCAGGCTGTTAAATGTCCCCAAGGCCCATGACTAATAAAGAAAATTCTCCAACTTCAGAGGAAGAACCGTTTGGAACTTTATGGTCTATTTATCCACTGCATTAAAGAAAAGGAAAGTGCTATAGTAGACTAACTCGCGAAGTTGAATGTGGGAAAAAGCGTCCTGAGGGTCTCAAGGTGCGGAGAAGTTGATCCCAAGTAATACCAACAGTATAATCATAAATTTCGCTTGTTTCTTCGCACACGTCCTTTTTTCCCGTTTTTTCTTATGAATGCATCCTTTTCTAAAAGTGCTTGTTTGGAGTCAAGAATTTCATAAAAGTATGAAGAAAAAAAAAATTATGCTGAGCAGCAAAACCCTCCCTGGGTCTAGCCTGCGAGCAAGGTCTCTCACTGCCCCACCCCACCCAATCGTCCCCCAATCCCGGCAGCAAGAGACCTTGCTCGCAGGCTACCCCCCCCCCCTTCCCTTCCCTTCCCCCTCCCCTCCCCCCCCCTCCCTTCCCTCCCTCCCTCCTCCCCCTCCCATCCCTCCGCCCCTCCCATCCCTCCCCCTCTATCCTATCTATCTATCTATCTATCTATCTATCTATCTATCTATCTATCTATCTATCTATCTATCTATCTATCTATCTATCTATCTATCTATCTATCTATTTATCTATCTATCTATCTACCTACCCATCTACCTATCTACCTACCCGCCTCGCGCCTGCTGCCCTCCCCCCCGGCCCGCCCCCGGGCCGGTGTACCAACTTCCGCTTCCCATACCCTTCCCAAGGCCTTTTTTCTTCCCTCTCCTCGCCCCAAGCCCTCCCAGATCCAAGCCGGGCTTTTTTCTATTTTTTTCCTTTTTCATGCTAATCAGGCGGGACTCGAACCCGACACCTCTTTGTTTTCCAGTTAATTACCAATTCAATGCTTATGCCAATTGCGCTATCCCGGCTCGGTTACAAATTCAATGGTTTTTTTGTATGTTATTCATATGCAAATCAAATTCTTGCCCCTCATTGGCTGTTGAAAATAATGACATCATGAACCTTCGGCCCAGAGGTCCCTGAGGTTCCACAGGTCCAAGAACCAAAACAAACCAAAGTTTACCAAACATAATGGAAACTGTAGCCTTGTCGGCTTTGCAAAAAGCTTCTGTTCATTGGATTCTTGTATCTTTCTGAACGCTCGTACATTTAAAAAAAGCACTTAGCGCTTTCACGCTTTTCCGACGGGCAATTTTGATCTTCGCTGTACGTTTTGTATGACATTAAAATACTTGAAATGTCCGTCGGTGCGTTTGCTTTCAGTTGTGATCACAAGAAACAGCTTCTGTACGGTTAAGAGTGATCAACATCAATTTACATTCTCGCTATATATCCTATCACTGAACAGTATCAATCATAAAAGGCTGAAAATAGAGGAAACTGCTCAGCAGGCGAAAACATTGTGATTTCTAATCAAATTCTCCTCGTTAGCGCCAGATGAACGGTAAAGGAGTGAGTATGGAGAATGTACATGTTAATCTCACGCCATTTACAAGTGTTCCTGCAACAAGCAAAATTGATCTGATAAATGAAAAACGCGAAAGTTATGTCACTTTTGATGGATTTGGAGCCAGCAATATGACCCTTCGAAAACAAGAAAAAACTGCGTTCTTCTCCAACTAGGCAACTACAGTACCCTAGTCTGAATCTTGTACCCTTATAACTGCAATAGGAAATCTGCAAGTAGCACTGTAAATCATACTAAAATGCTACCGATGCGACCGAAAACTTGTAATAGAATCATGAAATCAGACTGAAAGATCAAAACAAGGTAATATCCTGCGTGTCCTACGGCAGGTGAAAGACGTTTTTTCCAGAATGAAATGTACTTACATCCTCTTACTTGAGACATCACAAGAGTCCCAGGGACATTTCCAGGAGATCTCCATCAGTTTCAAACTTGACCCAAAAGTCATTTGACAAGATGGACCAAACAAACATTGTTTGGCCGGCCTATTGACGTTTAGAAATTCCATCAGGTCGTGTTTCTTTCGCAGGCAAGGTTAATTCAAGCTATTTCCAATCCAATCTTAAAATCAGGCTGTTAAATGTCCCCAAGGCCCATGACTAATAAAGAAAATTCTCCAACTTCAGAGGAAGAACCGTTTGGAACTTTATGGTCTATTTATCCACTGCATTAAAGAAAAGGAAAGTGCTATAGTAGACTAACTCGCGAAGTTGAATGTGGGAAAAAAGCGTCCTGAGGGTCTCAAGGTGCGGAGAAGTTGATCCCAAGTAATACCAACAGTATAATCATAAATTTCGCTTGTTTCTTCGCACACGTCCTTTTTTCCCGTCTTTTTCTTACGCGAATGCATCCTTTTCTAAAAGTGCTTGTTTGGAGTCAAGAATTTCATAAAAGTATGAAGAAAAAAAATTATGCTGAGCAGCAAAACCCTCCCCGGGTCTAGCCTGCGAGCAAGGTCTCTCACTGCCCCACCCCACCCAATCGTCCCCCAATCCCGGCAGCAAGAGACCTTGCTCGCAGGCTAGACCCCCCCTTCCCTTCCCCCCTCCCCTCCCATCCCTCCCCTTCCCTTCCCTCCCTCCTCCCATCCCTCCGCCCTCTACCTATCTACCTACCCCCCTCTACGTATCTATCTATCTATCTATCTATCTATCTATCTATCTATCTATCTATCTATCTATCTATCTATCTATCTATCTATCTATTTATCTATCTATCTATCTACCTACCCATCTACCTATCTACCTACCCGCCTCGCGCCTGCTGCCCTCCCCCCCGGCCCGCCCCCGGGCCGGTGTACCAACTTCCGCTTCCCATACCCTTCCCAAGGCCTTTTTTCTTCCCTCTCCTCGCCCCAAGCCCTCCCAGATCCAAGCCGGGCTTTTTTCTATTTTTTTCCTTTTTCATGCTAATCAGGCGGGACTCGAACCCGACACCTCTTTGTTTTCCAGTTAATTACCAATTCAATGCTTATGCCAATTGCGCTATCCCGGCTCGGTTACAAATTCAATGGTTTTTTTGTATGTTATTCATATGCAAATCAAATTCTTGCCCCTCATTGGCTGTTGAAAATAATGACATCATGAACCTTCGGCCCAGAGGTCCCTGAGGTTCCACAGGTCCAAGAACCAAAACAAACCAAAGTTTACCAAACATAATGGAAACTGTAGCCTTGTCGGCTTTTGCAAAAAAGCTTCTGTTCATTGGATTCTTGTATCTTTCTGAACGCTCGTACATTTAAAAAAAGCACTTAGCGCTTTCACGCTTTTCCGACGGGCAATTTTGATCTTCGCTGTACGTTTTGTATGACATTAAAATACTTGAAATGTCCGTCGGTGCGTTTGCTTTCAGTTGTGATCACAAGAAACAGCTTCTGTACGGTTAAGAGTGATCAACATCAATTTACATTCTCGCTATATATCCTATCACTGAACAGTATCAATCATAAAAGGCTGAAAATAGAGGAAACTGCTCAGCAGGCGAAAACATTGTGATTTCTAATCAAATTCTCCTCGTTAGCGCCAGATGAACGGTAAAGGAGTGAGTATGGAGAATGTACATGTTAATCTCACGCCATTTACAAGTGTTCCTGCAACAAGCAAAATTGATCTGATAAATGAAAAACGCGAAAGTTATGTCACTTTTGATGGATTTGGAGCCAGCAATATGACCCTTCGAAAACAAGAAAAACTGCGTTCTTCTCCAACTAGGCAACTACAGTACCCTAGTCTGAATCTTGTACCCTTATAACTGCAATAGGAAATCTGCAAGTAGCACTGTAAATCATACTAAAATGCTACCGATGCGACCGAAAACTTGTAATAGAATCATGAAATCAGACTGAAAGATCAAAACAAGGTAATATCCTGCGTGTCCTACGGCAGGTGAAAGACGTTTTTTTTTCCAGAATGAAATGTACTTACATCCTCTTACTTGAGACATCACAAGAGTCCCAGGGACATTTCCAGGAGATCTCCATCAGTTTCAAACTTGACCCAAAAGTCATTTGACAAGATGGACCAAACAAACATTGTTTGGCCGGCCTATTGACGTTTAGAAATTCCATCAGGTCGTGTTTCTTTCGCAGGCAAGGTTAATTCAAGCTATTTCCAATCCAATCTTAAAATCAGGCTGTTAAATGTCCCCAAGGCCCATGACTAATAAAGAAAATTCTCCAACTTCAGAGGAAGAACCGTTTGGAACTTTATGGTCTATTTATCCACTGCATTAAAGAAAAGGAAAGTGCTATAGTAGACTAACTCGCGAAGTTGAATGTGGGAAAAAGCGTCCTGAGGGTCTCAAGGTGCGGAGAAGTTGATCCCAAGTAATACCAACAGTATAATCATAAATTTCTTGCTTGTTTCTTCGCACACGTCCTTTTTTTCCCGTTTTTTTTTCGCAATGAATGCATCCTTTTCTAAAAGTGCTTGTTTGGAGTCAAGAATTTCAAAAAAGTATGAAAAAAAATTATGCTGAGCAGCAAAACCCTCCCCGGGTCTAGCCTGCGAGCAAGGTCTCTCACTGCCCCACCCCACCCAATCGCCCCCCCAATCCCGGCAGCAAGCGACCTTGCTCGCAGGCTAGACCCCCCCCTTCCCTCCCCCTTCCCCCCTCCCATCCCTCCCCTTCCCTTCCCTTCCCTCCCTCCTCCCATCCCTCCGCCCTCTACCTATCTACCTACCCCCCTCTACGTATCTATCTATCTATCTATCTATCTATCTATCTATCTATCTATCTATCTATCTATCTATCTATCTATCTATTTATCTATCTATCTATCTACCTACCCATCTACCTATCTACCTACCCGCCTCGCGCCTGCTGCCCTCCCCCCCGGCCCGCCCCCGGGCCGGTGTACCAACTTCCGCTTCCCATACCCTTCCCAAGGCCTTTTTTCTTCCCTCTCCTCGCCCCAAGCCCTCCCAGATCCAAGCCGGGCTTTTTTCTTTTTTTTTCCTTTTTCATGCTAATCAGGCGGGACTCGAACCCGACACCTCTTTGTTTTCCAGTTAATTACCAATTCAATGCTTATGCCAATTGCGCTATCCCGGCTCGGTTACAAATTCAATGGTTTTTTTGTATGTTATTCATATGCAAATCAAATTCTTGCCCCTCATTGGCTGTTGAAAATAATGACATCATGAACCTTCGGCCCAGAGGTCCCTGAGGTTCCACAGGTCCAAGAACCAAAACAAACCAAAGTTTACCAAACATAATGGAAACTGTAGCCTTGTCGGCTTTGCAAAAAGCTTCTGTTCATTGGATTCTTGTATCTTTCTGAACGCTCGTACATTTAAAAAAAGCACTTAGCGCTTTCACGCTTTTCCGACGGGCAATTTTGATCTTCGCTGTACGTTTTGTATGACATTAAAATACTTGAAATGTCCGTCGGTGCGTTTGCTTTCAGTTGTGATCACAAGAAACAGCTTCTGTACGGTTAAGAGTGATCAACATCAATTTACATTCTCGCTATATATCCTATCACTGAACAGTATCAATCATAAAAGGCTGAAAATAGAGGAAACTGCTCAGCAGGCGAAAACATTGTGATTTCTAATCAAATTCTCCTCGTTAGCGCCAGATGAACGGTAAAGGAGTGAGTATGGAGAATGTACATGTTAATCTCACGCCATTTACAAGTGTTCCTGCAACAAGCAAAATTGATCTGATAAATGAAAAACGCGAAAGTTATGTCACTTTTGATGGATTTGGAGCCAGCAATATGACCCTTCGAAAACAAGAAAAACTGCGTTCTTCTCCAACTAGGCAACTACAGTACCCTAGTCTGAATCTTGTACCCTTATAACTGCAATAGGAAATCTGCAAGTAGCACTGTAAATCATACTAAAATGCTACCGATGCGACCGAAAACTTGTAATAGAATCATGAAATCAGACTGAAAGATCAAAACAAGGTAATATCCTGCGTGTCCTACGGCAGGTGAAAGACGTTTTTTCCAGAATGAAATGTACTTACATCCTCTTACTTGAGACATCACAAGAGTCCCAGGGACATTTCCAGGAGATCTCCATCAGTTTCAAACTTGACCCAAAAGTCATTTGACAAGATGGACCAAACAAACATTGTTTGGCCGGCCTATTGACGTTTAGAAATTCCATCAGGTCGTGTTTTTCTTTCGCAGGCAAGGTTAATTCAAGCTATTTCCAATCCAATCTTAAAATCAGGCTGTTAAATGTCCCCAAGGCCCATGACTAATAAAGAAAATTCTCCAACTTCAGAGGAAGAACCGTTTGGAACTTTATGGTCTATTTATCCACTGCATTAAAGAAAAAAAGGAAAGTGCTATAGTAGACTAACTCGCGAAGTTGAATGTGGGAAAAAAGCGTCCTGAGGGTCTCAAGGTGCGGAGAAGTTGATCCCAAGTAATACCAACAGTATAATCATAAATTTCGCTTGTTTCTTCGCACACGTCCTTTTTTTCCCGTCTTTTTCTTACGCGAATGCATCCTTTTCTAAAAGTGCTTGTTTGGAGTCAAGAATTTCATAAAAGTATGAAGAAAAAAAATTATGCTGAGCAGCAAAACCCTCCCCGGGTCTAGCCTGCGAGCAAGGTCTCTCACTGCCCCACCCCACCCAATCGTCCCCCAATCCCGGCAGCAAGAGACCCTTGCTCGCAGGCCCCCCCCTCCCTTCCCTTCCCTTCCCCCCCCATCCCTCCCCTTCCCCCTTCCCTTCCCTCCCTCCTCCCATCCCTCCGCCCTCTACCTATCTACCTACCCCCTCTATCTATCTATCTATCTATCTATCTATCTATCTATCTATCTATCTATCTATCTATCTATCTATCTATCTATCTATCTATCTATCTATCTACCTACCCATCTACCTATCTACCTACCCGCCTGCCGCCTGCCTCCCTCCCCCCCGGCCCGCCCCCGGGCCGGTGTACCAACTTCCGCTTCCCATACCCTTCCCAAGGCCTTTTTTCTTCCCTCTCCTCGCCCCAAGCCCTCCCAGATCCAAGCCGGGCTTTTTTCTTTTTTTTTCCTTTTTCATGCTAATCAGGCGGGACTCGAACCCGACACCTCTTTGTTTTCCAGTTAATTACCAATTCAATGCTTATGCCAATTGCGCTATCCCGGCTCGGTTACAAATTCAATGGTTTTTTTGTATGTTATTCATATGCAAATCAAATTCTTGCCCCTCATTGGCTGTTGAAAATAATGACATCATGAACCTTCGGCCCAGAGGTCCCTGAGGTTCCACAGGTCCCAGAACCAAAACAAACCAAAGTTTACCAAACATAATGGAAACTGTAGCCTTGTCGGCTTTGCAAAAAGCTTCTGTTCATTGGATTCTTGTATCTTTCTGAACGCTCGTACATTTAAAAAAAGCACTTAGCGCTTTCACGCTTTTCCGACGGGCAATTTTGATCTTCGCTGTACGTTTTGTATGACATTAAAATACTTGAAATGTCCGTCGGTGCGTTTGCTTTCAGTTGTGATCACAAGAAACAGCTTCTGTACGGTTAAGAGTGATCAACATCAATTTACATTCTCGCTATATATCCTATCACTGAACAGTATCAATCATAAAAGGCTGAAAATAGAGGAAACTGCTCAGCAGGCGAAAACATTGTGATTTCTAATCAAATTCTCCTCGTTAGCGCCAGATGAACGGTAAAGGAGTGAGTATGGAGAATGTACATGTTAATCTCACGCCATTTACAAGTGTTCCTGCAACAAGCAAAATTGATCTGATAAATGAAAAACGCGAAAGTTATGTCACTTTTGATGGATTTGGAGCCAGCAATATGACCCTTCGAAAACAAGAAAAACTGCGTTCTTCTCCAACTAGGCAACTACAGTACCCTAGTCTGAATCTTGTACCCTTATAACTGCAATAGGAAATCTGCAAGTAGCACTGTAAATCATACTAAAATGCTACCGATGCGACCGAAAACTTGTAATAGAATCATGAAATCAGACTGAAAGATCAAAACAAGGTAATATCCTGCGTGTCCTACGGCAGGTGAAAGACGTTTTTTCCAGAATGAAATGTACTTACATCCTCTTACTTGAGACATCACAAGAGTCCCAGGGACATTTCCAGGAGATCTCCATCAGTTTCAAACTTGACCCAAAAGTCATTTGACAAGATGGACCAAACAAACATTGTTTGGCCGGCCTATTGACGTTTAGAAATTCCATCAGGTCGTGTTTCTTTCGCAGGCAAGGTTAATTCAAGCTATTTCCAATCCAATCTTAAAATCAGGCTGTTAAATGTCCCCAAGGCCCATGACTAATAAAGAAAATTCTCCAACTTCAGAGGAAGAACCGTTTGGAACTTCATGGTCTATTTATCCACTGCATTAAAAAAAAGGAAAGTGCTATAGTAGACTAACTCGCGAAGTTGAATGTGGGAAAAAGCGTCCTGAGGGTCTCAAGGTGCGGAGAAGTTGATCCCAAGTAATAACAACAGTATAATCATAAATTTCGCTTGTTTCTTCGCACACGTCTTTTTTTTTCCCGTCTTTTTTTCTTACGCGAATGCATCCTTTTCTAAAAGTGCTTGTTTGGAGTCAAGAATTTCATAAAAGTATGAAGAAAAAAAAAATTATGCTGAGCAGCAAAACCCTCCCCGGGTCTAGCCTGCGAGCAAGGTCTCTCACTGCCCCACCCCACCCAATCGTCCCCCAATCCCGGCAGCAAGAGACCTTGCTCGCAGGCTAGACCCTCCCTTCCCTTCCCCTTCCCTTCCCCTCCCTCCCTCCCTTCCCTTCCCTCCTCCGCCCCCTCCCCTCCCATCCCTCCGCCCCCTACCTATCTACCCCCCCCCCCTCTATCTATCTATCTATCTATCTATCTATCTATCTATCTATCTATCTATCTATCTATCTATCTATCTATCTTTATCTATCTATCTATCTACCTACCCATCTACCTATCTACCTACCCGCCTCGCGCCTGCTGCCCTCCCCCCCGGCCCGCCCCCGGGCCGGTGTACCAACTTCCGCTTCCCATACCCTTCCCAAGGCCTTTTTTCTTCCCTCTCCTCGCCCCAAGCCCTCCCAGATCCAAGCCGGGCTTTTTTCTATTTTTTTCCTTTTTCATGCTAATCAGGCGGGACTCGAACCCGACACCTCTTTGTTTTCCAGTTAATTACCAATTCAATGCTTATGCCAATTGCGCTATCCCGGCTCGGTTACAAATTCAATGGTTTTTTTGTATGTTATTCATATGCAAATCAAATTCTTGCCCCTCATTGGCTGTTGAAAATAATGACATCATGAACCTTCGGCCCAGAGGTCCCTGAGGTTCCACAGGTCCAAGAACCAAAACAAACCAAAGTTTACCAAACATAATGGAAACTGTAGCCTTGTCGGCTTTGCAAAAAGCTTCTGTTCATTGGATTCTTGTATCTTTCTGAACGCTCGTACATTTAAAAAAAGCACTTAGCGCTTTCACGCTTTTCCGACGGGCAATTTTGATCTTCGCTGTACGTTTTGTATGACATTAAAATACTTGAAATGTCCGTCGGTGCGTTTGCTTTCAGTTGTGATCACAAGAAACAGCTTCTGTACGGTTAAGAGTGATCAACATCAATTTACATTCTCGCTATATATCCTATCACTGAACAGTATCAATCATAAAAGGCTGAAAATAGAGGAAACTGCTCAGCAGGCGAAAACATTGTGATTTCTAATCAAATTCTCCTCGTTAGCGCCAGATGAACGGTAAAGGAGTGAGTATGGAGAATGTACATGTTAATCTCACGCCATTTACAAGTGTTCCTGCAACAAGCAAAATTGATCTGATAAATGAAAAACGCGAAAGTTATGTCACTTTTGATGGATTTGGAGCCAGCAATATGACCCTTCGAAAACAAGAAAAACTGCGTTCTTCTCCAACTAGGCAACTACAGTACCCTAGTCTGAATCTTGTACCCTTATAACTGCAATAGGAAATCTGCAAGTAGCACTGTAAATCATACTAAAATGCTACCGATGCGACCGAAAACTTGTAATAGAATCATGAAATCAGACTGAAAGATCAAAACAAGGTAATATCCTGCGTGTCCTACGGCAGGTGAAAGACGTTTTTTCCAGAATGAAATGTACTTACATCCTCTTACTTGAGACATCACAAGAGTCCCAGGGACATTTCAGGAGATCTCCATCAGTTTCAAACTTGACCCAAAAGTCATTTGACAAGATGGACCAAACAAACATTGTTTGGCCGGCCTATTGACGTTTAGAAATTCCATCAGGTCGTGTTTCTTTCGCAGGCAAGGTTAATTCAAGCTATTTCCAATCCAATCTTAAAATCAGGCTGTTAAATGTCCCCAAGGCCCATGACTAATAAAGAAAATTCTCCAACTTCAGAGGAAGAACCGTTTGGAACTTTATGGTCTATTTATCCACTGCATTAAAGAAAAGGAAAGTGCTATAGTAGACTAACTCGCGAAGTTGAATGTGGGAAAAAGCGTCCTGAGGGTCTCAAGGTGCGGAGAAGTTGATCCCAAGTAATACCAACAGTATAATCATAAATTTCGCTTGTTTCTTCGCACACGTCCTTTTTTCCCGTCTTTTTCTTACGCGAATGCATCCTTTTCTAAAAGTGCTTGTTTGGAGTCAAGAATTTCATAAAAAAAGTATGAAAAAAAAAATTATGCTGAGCAGCAAAACCCTCCCCGGGTCTAGCCTGCGAGCAAGGTCTCTCACTGCCCCACCCCACCCAATCGTCCCCCAATCCCGGCAGCAAGAGACCTTGCTCGCAGGCTAGACCCCCCCTCCCTTCCCCCCTCCCATCCCCCTCCCTTCCCTTCCCTTCCCTTCCCTCCCTCCTCCCATCCCTCCGCCCTCTACCTATCTACCTACCCCCCTCTACGTATCTACCTATCTATCTATCTATCTATCTATCTATCTATCTATCTATCTATCTATCTATCTATTTATCTATCTATCTATCTACCTACCCATCTACCTATCTACCTACCCGCCTCGCGCCTGCTGCCCTCCCCCCCGGCCCGCCCCCGGGCCGGTGTACCAACTTCCGCTTCCCATACCCTTCCCAAGGCCTTTTTTCTTCCCTCTCCTCGCCCCAAGCCCTCCCAGATCCAAGCCGGGCTTTTTTCTATTTTTTTCCTTTTTCATGCTAATCAGGCGGGACTCGAACCCGACACCTCTTTGTTTTCCAGTTAATTACCAATTCAATGCTTATGCCAATTGCGCTATCCCGGCTCGGTTACAAATTCAATGGTTTTTTTGTATGTTATTCATATGCAAATCAAATTCTTGCCCCTCATTGGCTGTTGAAAATAATGACATCATGAACCTTCGGCCCAGAGGTCCCTGAGGTTCCACAGGTCCAAGAACCAAAACAAACCAAAGTTTACCAAACATAATGGAAACTGTAGCCTTGTCGGCTTTGCAAAAAAAGCTTCTGTTCATTGGATTCTTGTATCTTTCTGAACGCTCGTACATTTAAAAAAAGCACTTAGCGCTTTCACGCTTTTCCGACGGGCAATTTTGATCTTCGCTGTACGTTTTGTATGACATTAAAATACTTGAAATGTCCGTCGGTGCGTTTGCTTTCAGTTGTGATCACAAGAAACAGCTTCTGTACGGTTAAGAGTGATCAACATCAATTTACATTCTCGCTATATATCCTATCACTGAACAGTATCAATCATAAAAGGCTGAAAATAGAGGAAACTGCTCAGCAGGCGAAAACATTGTGATTTCTAATCAAATTCTCCTCGTTAGCGCCAGATGAACGGTAAAGGAGTGAGTATGGAGAATGTACATGTTAATCTCACGCCATTTACAAGTGTTCCTGCAACAAGCAAAATTGATCTGATAAATGAAAAACGCGAAAGTTATGTCACTTTTGATGGATTTGGAGCCAGCAATATGACCCTTCGAAAACAAGAAAAACTGCGTTCTTCTCCAACTAGGCAACTACAGTACCCTAGTCTGAATCTTGTACCCTTATAACTGCAATAGGAAATCTGCAAGTAGCACTGTAAATCATACTAAAATGCTACCGATGCGACCGAAAACTTGTAATAGAATCATGAAATCAGACTGAAAGATCAAAACAAGGTAATATCCTGCGTGTCCTACGGCAGGTGAAAGACGTTTTTCCAGAATGAAATGTACTTACATCCTCTTACTTGAGACATCACAAGAGTCCCAGGGACATTTCAGGAGATCTCCATCAGTTTCAAACTTGACCCAAAAGTCATTTGACAAGATGGACCAAACAAACATTGTTTGGCCGGCCTATTGACGTTTAGAAATTCCATCAGGTCGTGTTTCTTTCGCAGGCAAGGTTAATTCAAGCTATTTCCAATCCAATCTTAAAATCAGGCTGTTAAATGTCCCCAAGGCCCATGACTAATAAAGAAAATTCTCCAACTTCAGAGGAAGAACCGTTTGGAACTTTATGGTCTATTTATCCACTGCATTAAAGAAAAGGAAAGTGCTATAGTAGACTAACTCGCGAAGTTGAATGTGGGAAAAAAGCGTCCTGAGGGTCTCAAGGTGCGGAGAAGTTGATCCCAAGTAATACCAACAGTATAATCATAAATTTCGCTTGTTTCTTCGCACACGTCCTTTTTCCCGTCTTTTTCTTACGCGAATGCATCCTTTTCTAAAAGTGCTTGTTTGGAGTCAAGAATTTCATATATAAAGTATGAAGAAAAAAAAAAATTATGCTGAGCAGCAAAACCCTCCCCGGGTCTAGCCTGCGAGCAAGGTCTCTCACTGCCCCACCCCACCCAATCGTCCCCCAATCCCGGCAGCAAGAGACCTTGCTCGCAGGCTAGACCCCCCCCTTCCCTTCCCTTCCCCCCCTCCCATCCCTCCCTTCCCTTCCCTTCCCTCCCTCCTCCCATCCCTCCGCCCCTACCTACCTACCTACCCCCCCTATCTATCTATCTATCTATCTATCTATCTATCTATCTATCTATCTATCTATCTATCTATCTATCTATCTATCTATCTATCTATCTACCTACCCATCTACCTATCTACCTACCCGCCTCGCGCCTGCCTCCCCCCCGGCCCGCCCCCGGGCCGGTGTACCAACTTCCGCTTCCCATACCCTTCCCAAGGCTTTTTTTTCTTCCCTCTCCTCGCCCCAAGCCCTCCCAGATCCAAGCCGGGCTTTTTTCTTTTTTTTTTCCTTTTTCATGCTAATCAGGCGGGACTCGAACCCGACACCTCTTTGTTTTCCAGTTAATTACCAATTCAATGCTTATGCCAATTGCGCTATCCCGGCTCGGTTACAAATTCAATGGTTTTTTTTGTATGTTATTCATATGCAAATCAAATTCTTGCCCCTCATTGGCTGTTGAAAATAATGACATCATGAACCTTCGGCCCAGAGGTCCCTGAGGTTCCACAGGTCCAAGAACCAAAACAAACCAAAGTTTACCAAACATAATGGAAACTGTAGCCTTGTCGGCTTTGCAAAAAGCTTCTGTTCATTGGATTCTTGTATCTTTCTGAACGCTCGTACATTTAAAAAAGCACTTAGCGCTTTCACGCTTTTCCGACGGGCAATTTTGATCTTCGCTGTACGTTTTGTATGACATTAAAATACTTGAAATGTCCGTCGGTGCGTTTGCTTTCAGTTGTGATCACAAGAAACAGCTTCTGTACGGTTAAGAGTGATCAACATCAATTTACATTCTCGCTATATATCCTATCACTGAACAGTATCAATCATAAAAGGCTGAAAATAGAGGAAACTGCTCAGCAGGCGAAAACATTGTGATTTCTAATCAAATTCTCCTCGTTAGCGCCAGATGAACGGTAAAGGGTGAGTATGGAGAATGTACATGTTAATCTCACGCCATTTACAAGTGTTCCTGCAACAAGCAAAATTGATCTGATAAATGAAAAACGCGAAAGTTATGTCACTTTTGATGGATTTGGAGCCAGCAATATGACCCTTCGAAAACAAGAAAAACTGCGTTCTTCTCCAACTAGGCAACTACAGTACCCTAGTCTGAATCTTGTACCCTTATAACTGCAATAGGAAATCTGCAAGTAGCACTGTAAATCATACTAAAATGCTACCGATGCGACCGAAAACTTGTAATAGAATCATGAAATCAGACTGAAAGATCAAAACAAGGTAATATCCTGCGTGTCCTACGGCAGGTGAAAGACGTTTTTCAGAATGAAATGTACTTACATCCTCTTACTTGAGACATCACAAGAGTCCCAGGGACATTTCAGGAGATCTCCATCAGTTTCAAACTTGACCCAAAAGTCATTTGACAAGATGGACCAAACAAACATTGTTTGGCCGGCCTATTGACGTTTAGAAATTCCATCAGGTCGTGTTTCTTTCGCAGGCAAGGTTAATTCAAGCTATTTCCAATCCAATCTTAAAATCAGGCTGTTAAATGTCCCCAAGGCCCATGACTAATAAAGAAAATTCTCCAACTTCAGAGGAAGAACCGTTTGGAACTTTATGGTCTATTTATCCACTGCATTAAAGAAAAGGAAAGTGCTATAGTAGACTAACTCGCGAAGTTGAATGTGGGAAAAAAGCGTCCTGAGGGTCTCAAGGTGCGGAGAAGTTGATCCCAAGTAATACCAACAGTATAATCATAAATTTCGCTTGTTTCTTCGCACACGTCCTTTTTTTCCCGTCTTTTTCTTACGCGAATGCATCCTTTTCTAAAAGTGCTTGTTTGGAGTCAAGAATTTCATAAAAGTATGAAGAAAAAAAAAAATTATGCTGAGCAGCAAAACCCTCCCCGGGTCTAGCCTGCGAGCAAGGTCTCTCACTGCCCCACCCCACCCAATCGTCCCCCAATCCCGGCAGCAAGAGACCTTGCTCGCAGGCTAGACCCCCTCCCTTCCTTCCCTTCCCCCCCCTCCCATCCCTCCCTTCCCTTCCCTTCCTTCCTCCCTCCTCCCATCCCTCCGCCCTCTACCTATCTACCTACCCCCCTCTACGTATCTATCTATCTATCTATCTATCTATCTATCTATCTATCTATCTATCTATCTATCTATCTATCTATCTATCTATCTATCTATCTACCTACCCATCTACCTATCTACCTACCCGCCTCGCGCCTGCCCTCCCCAGCCCGCCCCCGGGCCGGTGTACCAACTTCCGCTTCCCATACCCTTCCCAAGGCCTTTTTCTTCCCCTCTCCTCGCCCCAAGCCCTCCCAGATCCAAGCCGGGCTTTTTCTTTTTTTCCTTTTTCATGCTAATCAGGCGGGACTCGAACCCGACACCTCTTTGTTTTCCAGTTAATTACCAATTCAATGCTTATGCCAATTGCGCTATCCCGGCTCGGTTACAAATTCAATGGTTTTTTTGTATGTTATTCATATGCAAATCAAATTCTTGCCCCTCATTGGCTGTTGAAAATAATGACATCATGAACCTTCGGCCCAGAGGTCCCTGAGGTTCCACAGGTCCAAGAACCAAAACAAACCAAAGTTTACCAAACATAATGGAAACTGTAGCCTTGTCGGCTTTGCAAAAAGCTTCTGTTCATTGGATTCTTGTATCTTTCTGAACGCTCGTACATTTAAAAAAAGCACTTAGCGCTTTCACGCTTTTCCGACGGGCAATTTTGATCTTCGCTGTACGTTTTGTATGACATTAAAATACTTGAAATGTCCGTCGGTGCGTTTGCTTTCAGTTGTGATCACAAGAAACAGCTTCTGTACGGTTAAGAGTGATCAACATCAATTTACATTCTCGCTATATATCCTATCACTGAACAGTATCAATCATAAAAGGCTGAAAATAGAGGAAACTGCTCAGCAGGCGAAAACATTGTGATTTCTAATCAAATTCTCCTCGTTAGCGCCAGATGAACGGTAAAGGGTGAGTATGGAGAATGTACATGTTAATCTCACGCCATTTACAAGTGTTCCTGCAACAAGCAAAATTGATCTGATAAATGAAAAACGCGAAAGTTATGTCACTTTTGATGGATTTGGAGCCAGCAATATGACCCTTCGAAAACAAGAAAAACTGCGTTCTTCTCCAACTAGGCAACTACAGTACCCTAGTCTGAATCTTGTACCCTTATAACTGCAATAGGAAATCTGCAAGTAGCACTGTAAATCATACTAAAATGCTACCGATGCGACCGAAAACTTGTAATAGAATCATGAAATCAGACTGAAAGATCAAAACAAGGTAATATCCTGCGTGTCCTACGGCAGGTGAAAGACGTTTTTCAGAATGAAATGTACTTACATCCTCTTACTTGAGACATCACAAGAGTCCCAGGGACATTTCAGGAGATCTCCATCAGTTTCAAACTTGACCCAAAAGTCATTTGACAAGATGGACCAAACAAACATTGTTTGGCCGGCCTATTGACGTTTAGAAATTCCATCAGGTCGTGTTTCTTTCGCAGGCAAGGTTAATTCAAGCTATTTCCAATCCAATCTTAAAATCAGGCTGTTAAATGTCCCCAAGGCCCATGACTAATAAAGAAAATTCTCCAACTTCAGAGGAAGAACCGTTTGGAACTTTATGGTCTATTTATCCACTGCATTAAAGAAAAGGAAAGTGCTATAGTAGACTAACTCGCGAAGTTGAATGTGGGAAAAAAGCGTCCTGAGGGTCTCAAGGTGCGGAGAAGTTGATCCCAAGTAATACCAACAGTATAATCATAAATTTCGCTTGTTTCTTCGCACACGTCCTTTTTCCCGTTTTTTTCTTACGCGAATGCATCCTTTTCTAAAAGTGCTTGTTTGGAGTCAAGAATTTCATAAAAGTATGAAGAAAAAAAAAAAAAAATTATGCTGAGCAGCAAAACCCTCCCCGGGTCTAGCCTGCGAGCAAGGTCTCTCACTGCCCCACCCCACCCAATCGTCCCCCCAATCCCGGCAGCAAGAGACCTTGCTCGCAGGCTAGACCCCCCCTCCCTTCCCTTCCCTTCCCCTCCCATCCCTCCTTCCCTTCCCTTCCCTCCCTCCTCCCATCCCTCCGCCCTCTACCTATCTACCCCCCCCCCGTATCTATCTATCTATCTATCTATCTATCTATCTATCTATCTATCTATCTATCTATCTATCTATCTATCTATCTATCTATCTACCTATCTACCTATCTACCTATCTACCTACCCGCCCGCGCGCCTGCCCTCCCCCCCCCGCCCCCGGGCCGGTGTACCAACTTTCCGCTTCCCATACCCTTCCCAAGGCTTTTTTTTTCCCCTCTCCTCGCCCCAAGCCCTCCCAGATCCAAGCCGGGCTTTTTTTCTTTTTTCCTTTTTCATGCTAATCAGGCGGGACTCGAACCCGACACCTCTTTGTTTTCCAGTTAATTACCAATTCAATGCTTATGCCAATTGCGCTATCCCGGCTCGGTTACAAATTCAATGGTTTTTTTGTATGTTATTCATATGCAAATCAAATTCTTGCCCCTCATTGGCTGTTGAAAATAATGACATCATGAACCTTCGGCCCAGAGGTCCCTGAGGTTCCACAGGTCCAAGAACCAAAACAAACCAAAGTTTACCAAACATAATGGAAACTGTAGCCTTGTCGGCTTTGCAAAAAGCTTCTGTTCATTGGATTCTTGTATCTTTCTGAACGCTCGTACATTTAAAAAAAGCACTTAGCGCTTTCACGCTTTTCCGACGGGCAATTTTGATCTTCGCTGTACGTTTTGTATGACATTAAAATACTTGAAATGTCCGTCGGTGCGTTTGCTTTCAGTTGTGATCACAAGAAACAGCTTCTGTACGGTTAAGAGTGATCAACATCAATTTACATTCTCGCTATATATCCTATCACTGAACAGTATCAATCATAAAAGGCTGAAAATAGAGGAAACTGCTCAGCAGGCGAAAACATTGTGATTTCTAATCAAATTCTCCTCGTTAGCGCCAGATGAACGGTAAAGGGTGAGTATGGAGAATGTACATGTTAATCTCACGCCATTTACAAGTGTTCCTGCAACAAGCAAAATTGATCTGATAAATGAAAAACGCGAAAGTTATGTCACTTTTGATGGATTTGGAGCCAGCAATATGACCCTTCGAAAACAAGAAAAACTGCGTTCTTCTCCAACTAGGCAACTACAGTACCCTAGTCTGAATCTTGTACCCTTATAACTGCAATAGGAAATCTGCAAGTAGCACTGTAAATCATACTAAAATGCTACCGATGCGACCGAAAACTTGTAATAGAATCATGAAATCAGACTGAAAGATCAAAACAAGGTAATATCCTGCGTGTCCTACGGCAGGTGAAAGACGTTTTTCAGAATGAAATGTACTTACATCCTCTTACTTGAGACATCACAAGAGTCCCAGGGACATTTCAGGAGATCTCCATCAGTTTCAAACTTGACCCAAAAGTCATTTGACAAGATGGACCAAACAAACATTGTTTGGCCGGCCTATTGACGTTTAGAAATTCCATCAGGTCGTGTTTCTTTCGCAGGCAAGGTTAATTCAAGCTATTTCAATCCAATCTTAAAATCAGGCTGTTAAATGTCCCCAAGGCCCATGACTAATAAAGAAAATTCTCCAACTTCAGAGGAAGAACCGTTTGGAACTTTATGGTCTATTTATCCACTGCATTAAAGAAAAGGAAAGTGCTATAGTAGACTAACTCGCGAAGTTGAATGTGGGAAAAAAGCGTCCTGAGGGTCTCAAGGTGCGGAGAAGTTGATCCCAAGTAATACCAACAGTATAATCATAAATTTTCGCTTGTTTCTTCGCACACGTCCTTTTTCCCGTCTTTTTCTTACGCGAATGCATCCTTTTCTAAAAGTGCTTGTTTGGAGTCAAGAATTTCATAAAAGTATGAAAAAAAAAAATTATGCTGAGCAGCAAAACCCTCCCGGGTCTAGCCTGCGAGCAAGGTCTCTCACTGCCCCACCCCACCCAATCGTCCCCCAATCCCGGCAGCAAGAGACCTTGCTCGCAGGCTAGACCCCCTCCCTTCCTTCCCTTCCTTCCCCTCCCATCCCTCCCCTTCCCTCCCTTCCCTCCCCCTCCTCCCATCCCTCCGCCCTCTACCTATCTACCTACCCCCCCCCTATCTATCTATCTATCTATCTATCTATCTATCTATCTATCTATCTATCTATCTATCTATCTATCTATCTATCTATCTATTTATCTATCTATCTATCTACCTACCCATCTACCTATCTACCTACCCGCCTCGCGCCTGCTGCCCTCCCCCCCCCCCCCCCGGGCGGTGTACCCCTCTTCCGCTTCCCATACCCTTCCCAAGGCCTTTTTCTTCCCTCTCCTCGCCCCAAGCCCTCCCAGATCCAAGCCGGGCTTTTTCTATTTTTTCCTTTTTCATGCTAATCAGGCGGGACTCGAACCCGACACCTCTTTGTTTTCAGTTAATTACCAATTCAATGCTTATGCCAATTGCGCTATCCCGGCTCGGTTACAAATTCAATGGTTTTTTTTTTTTGTATGTTATTCATATGCAAATCAAATTCTTGCCCCTCATTGGCTGTTGAAAATAATGACATCATGAACCTTCGGCCCAGAGGTCCCTGAGGTTCCACAGGTCCAAGAACCAAAACAAACCAAAGTTTACCAAACATAATGGAAACTGTAGCCTTGTCGGCTTTGCAAAAAGCTTCTGTTCATTGGATTCTTGTATCTTTCTGAACGCTCGTACATTTAAAAAAGCACTTAGCGCTTTCACGCTTTTCCGACGGGCAATTTTGATCTTCGCTGTACGTTTTGTATGACATTAAAATACTTGAAATGTCCGTCGGTGCGTTTGCTTTCAGTTGTGATCACAAGAAACAGCTTCTGTACGGTTAAGAGTGATCAACATCAATTTACATTCTCGCTATATATCCTATCACTGAACAGTATCAATCATAAAAGGCTGAAAATAGAGGAAACTGCTCAGCAGGCGAAAACATTGTGATTTCTAATCAAATTCTCCTCGTTAGCGCCAGATGAACGGTAAAGGGTGAGTATGGAGAATGTACATGTTAATCTCACGCCATTTACAAGTGTTCCTGCAACAAGCAAAATTGATCTGATAAATGAAAAACGCGAAAGTTATGTCACTTTTGATGGATTTGGAGCCAGCAATATGACCCTTCGAAAACAAGAAAAACTGCGTTCTTCTCCAACTAGGCAACTACAGTACCCTAGTCTGAATCTTGTACCCTTATAACTGCAATAGGAAATCTGCAAGTAGCACTGTAAATCATACTAAAATGCTACCGATGCGACCGAAAACTTGTAATAGAATCATGAAATCAGACTGAAAGATCAAAACAAGGTAATATCCTGCGTGTCCTACGGCAGGTGAAAGACGTTTTTTCAGAATGAAATGTACTTACATCCTCTTACTTGAGACATCACAAGAGTCCCAGGGACATTTCAGGAGATCTCCATCAGTTTCAAACTTGACCCAAAAGTCATTTGACAAGATGGACCAAACAAACATTGTTTGGCCGGCCTATTGACGTTTAGAAATTCCATCAGGTCGTGTTTCTTTCGCAGGCAAGGTTAATTCAAGCTATTTCCAATCCAATCTTAAAATCAGGCTGTTAAATGTCCCCAAGGCCCATGACTAATAAAGAAAATTCTCCAACTTCAGAGGAAGAACCGTTTGGAACTTTATGGTCTATTTATCCACTGCATTAAAGAAAAGGAAAGTGCTATAGTAGACTAACTCGCGAAGTTGAATGTGGGAAAAAAGCGTCCTGAGGGTCTCAAGGTGTGCGGAGAAGTTGATCCCAAGTAATACCAACAGTATAATCATAAATTTCGCTTGTTTCTTCGCACACGTCCTTTTTTCCCGTCTTTTTCTTACGCGAATGCATCCTTTTCTAAAAGTGCTTGTTTGGAGTCAAGAATTTCATAAAAGTATGAAGAAAAAAAATTATGCTGAGCAGCAAAACCCTCCCCGGGTCTAGCCTGCGAGCAAGGTCTCTCACTGCCCCACCCCACCCAATCGTCCCCCCAATCCCGGCAGCAAGAGACCTTGCTCGCAGGCTAGACCCCCCTCCCTTCCCTTCCCTTCCCCCTCCCATCCCTCCCCTTCCCTTCCCTTCCCTCCCTCCTCCCATCCCTCCGCCCTCTACCTATCTACCTACCCCCCTCTACGTATCTATCTATCTATCTATCTATCTATCTATCTATCTATCTATCTATCTATCTATCTATTTATCTATCTATCTATTATCTATCTATCTATCTACCTACCCATCTACCTATCTACCTACCCGCCTCGCGCCTGCTGCCCTCCCCCCCGGCCCGCCCCGGGCCGGTGTACCAACTTCCGCTTCCCATACCCTTCCCAAGGCCTTTTTCTTCCCTCTCCTCGCCCCAAGCCCTCCCAGATCCAAGCCGGGCTTTTTCTATTTTTTCCTTTTTCATGCTAATCAGGCGGGACTCGAACCCGACACCTCTTTGTTTTTCAGTTAATTACCAATTCAATGCTTATGCCAATTGCGCTATCCCGGCTCGGTTACAAATTCAATGGTTTTTTTGTATGTTATTCATATGCAAATCAAATTCTTGCCCCTCATTGGCTGTTGAAAATAATGACATCATGAACCTTCGGCCCAGAGGTCCCTGAGGTTCCACAGGTCCAGAACCAAAACAAACCAAAGTTTACCAAACATAATGGAAACTGTAGCCTTGTCGGCTTTGCAAAAAGCTTCTGTTCATTGGATTCTTGTATCTTTCTGAACGCTCGTACATTAAAAAAAGCACTTAGCGCTTTCACGCTTTTCCGACGGGCAATTTTGATCTTCGCTGTACGTTTTGTATGACATTAAAATACTTGAAATGTCCGTCGGTGCGTTTGCTTTCAGTTGTGATCACAAGAAACAGCTTCTGTACGGTTAAGAGTGATCAACATCAATTTACATTCTCGCTATATATCCTATCACTGAACAGTATCAATCATAAAAGGCTGAAAAAAAGGAAACTGCTCAGCAGGCGAAAACATTGTGATTTCTAATCAAATTCTCCTCGTTAGCGCCAGATGAACGGTAAAGGGTGAGTATGGAGAATGTACATGTTAATCTCACGCCATTTACAAGTGTTCCTGCAACAAGCAAAATTGATCTGATAAATGAAAAACGCGAAAGTTATGTCACTTTTGATGGATTTGGAGCCAGCAATATGACCCTTCGAAAACAAGAAAAACTGCGTTCTTCTCCAACTAGGCAACTACAGTACCCTAGTCTGAATCTTGTACCCTTATAACTGCAATAGGAAATCTGCAAGTAGCACTGTAAATCATACTAAAATGCTACCGATGCGACCGAAAACTTGTAATAGAATCATGAAATCAGACTGAAAGATCAAAACAAGGTAATATCCTGCGTGTCCTACGGCAGGTGAAAGACGTTTTTTCAGAATGAAATGTACTTACATCCTCTTACTTGAGACATCACAAGAGTCCCAGGGACATTTCAGGAGATCTCCATCAGTTTCAAACTTGACCCAAAAGTCATTTGACAAGATGGACCAAACAAACATTGTTTGGCCGGCCTATTGACGTTTAGAAATTCCATCAGGTCGTGTTTCTTTCGCAGGCAAGGTTAATTCAAGCTATTTCCAATCCAATCTTAAAATCAGGCTGTTAAATGTCCCCAAGGCCCATGACTAATAAAGAAAATTCTCCAACTTCAGAGGAAGAACCGTTTGGAACTTTATGGTCTATTTATCCACTGCATTAAAGAAAAGGAAAGTGCTATAGTAGACTAACTCGCGAAGTTGAATGTGGGAAAAAGCGTCCTGAGGGTCTCAAGGTGCGGAGAAGTTGATCCCAAGTAATACCAACAGTATAATCATAAATTTCGCTTGTTTCTTCGCACACGTCCTTTTTTCCCGTCTTTTTCTTACGCGAATGCATCCTTTTCTAAAAGTGCTTGTTTGGAGTCAAGAATTTCATAAAAGTATGAAGAAAAAAAATTATGCTGAGCAGCAAAACCCTCCCCGGGTCTAGCCTGCGAGCAAGGTCTCTCACTGCCCCACCCCACCCAATCGTCCCCCCAATCCCGGCAGCAAGAGACCTTGCTCGCAGGCTAGACCCCCCTCCCTTCCCTTCCCTTCCCCCTCCCATCCCTCCCCTTCCCTTCCCTTCCCTCCCTCCTCCCATCCCTCCGCCCTCTACCTATCTACCTACCCCCCTCTACGTATCTATCTATCTATCTATCTATCTATCTATCTATCTATTTATCTATCTATCTATCTACCTACCCATCTACCTATCTACCTACCCGCCTCGCGCCTGCTGCCCTCCCCCCCGGCCCGCCCCCGGGCCGGTGTACCAACTTCCGCTTCCCATACCCTTCCCAAGGCCTTTTTTCTTCCCTCTCCTCGCCCCAAGCCCTCCCAGATCCAAGCCGGGCTTTTTTCTATTTTTTTCCTTTTTCATGCTAATCAGGCGGGACTCGAACCCGACACCTCTTTGTTTTCCAGTTAATTACCAATTCAATGCTTATGCCAATTGCGCTATCCCGGCTCGGTTACAAATTCAATGGTTTTTTTGTATGTTATTCATATGCAAATCAAATTCTTGCCCCTCATTGGCTGTTGAAAATAATGACATCATGAACCTTCGGCCCAGAGGTCCCTGAGGTTCCACAGGTCCAAGAACCAAAACAAACCAAAGTTTACCAAACATAATGGAAACTGTAGCCTTGTCGGCTTTGCAAAAAGCTTCTGTTCATTGGATTCTTGTATCTTTCTGAACGCTCGTACATTTAAAAAAAGCACTTAGCGCTTTCACGCTTTTCCGACGGGCAATTTTGATCTTCGCTGTACGTTTTGTATGACATTAAAATACTTGAAATGTCCGTCGGTGCGTTTGCTTTCAGTTGTGATCACAAGAAACAGCTTCTGTACGGTTAAGAGTGATCAACATCAATTTACATTCTCGCTATATATCCTATCACTGAACAGTATCAATCATAAAAGGCTGAAAATAGAGGAAACTGCTCAGCAGGCGAAAACATTGTGATTTCTAATCAAATTCTCCTCGTTAGCGCCAGATGAACGGTAAAGGGTGAGTATGGAGAATGTACATGTTAATCTCACGCCATTTACAAGTGTTCCTGCAACAAGCAAAATTGATCTGATAAATGAAAAACGCGAAAGTTATGTCACTTTTGATGGATTTGGAGCCAGCAATATGACCCTTCGAAAACAAGAAAAACTGCGTTCTTCTCCAACTAGGCAACTACAGTACCCTAGTCTGAATCTTGTACCCTTATAACTGCAATAGGAAATCTGCAAGTAGCACTGTAAATCATACTAAAATGCTACCGATGCGACCGAAAACTTGTAATAGAATCATGAAATCAGACTGAAAGATCAAAACAAGGTAATATCCTGCGTGTCCTACGGCAGGTGAAAGACGTTTTTTCAGAATGAAATGTACTTACATCCTCTTACTTGAGACATCACAAGAGTCCCAGGGACATTTCAGGAGATCTCCATCAGTTTCAAACTTGACCCAAAAGTCATTTGACAAGATGGACCAAACAAACATTGTTTGGCCGGCCTATTGACGTTTAGAAATTCCATCAGGTCGTGTTTCTTTCGCAGGCAAGGTTAATTCAAGCTATTTCCAATCCAATCTTAAAATCAGGCTGTTAAATGTCCCCAAGGCCCATGACTAATAAAGAAAATTCTCCAACTTCAGAGGAAGAACCGTTTGGAACTTTATGGTCTATTTATCCACTGCATTAAAGAAAAGGAAAGTGCTATAGTAGACTAACTCGCGAAGTTGAATGTGGGAAAAAAGCGTCCTGAGGGTCTCAAGGTGCGGAGAAGTTGATCCCAAGTAATACCAACAGTATAATCATAAATTTCGCTTGTTTCTTCGCACACGTCCTTTTTCCCCCGTTTTTTCTTACGCGAATGCATCCTTTTCTAAAAGTGCTTGTTTGGAGTCAAGAATTTCATAAAAGTATGAAAAAAAAAAAATTATGCTGAGCAGCAAAACCCTCCCCGGGTCTAGCCTGCGAGCAAGGTCTCTCACTGCCCCACCCCACCCAATCGTCCCCCAATCCCGGCAGCAAGAGACCTTGCTCGCAGGCTAGACCCCCTCCCTTCCCTTCCCCTCCCCTCCCATCCCTCCCCTTCCCTTCCCTTCCCTCCCTCCTCCCATCCCTCCGCCCTCTACCTATCTACCTACCCCCTCTATCTATCTATCTATCTATCTATCTATCTATCTATCTATCTATCTTTCTATCTATCTATCTATCTATCTATCTATTTATCTATCTATCTATCTACCTACCCATCTACCTATCTACCTACCCGCCTCGCGCCTGCTGCCCTCCCCGGCCCGCCCCGGGCCGGGTACCAACTTCCGCTTCCCATACCCTTCCCAAGGCCTTTTTTTCTTCCCTCTCCTCGCCCCAAGCCCTCCCAGATCCAAGCCGGGCTTTTTCTATTTTTTTCCTTTTTCATGCTAATCAGGCGGGACTCGAACCCGACACCTCTTTGTTTTCCAGTTAATTACCAATTCAATGCTTATGCCAATTGCGCTATCCCGGCTCGGTTACAAATTCAATGGTTTTTTTTTGTATGTTATTCATATGCAAATCAAATTCTTGCCCCTCATTGGCTGTTGAAAATAATGACATCATGAACCTTCGGCCCAGAGGTCCCTGAGGTTCCACAGGTCCAAGAACCAAAACAAACCAAAGTTTACCAAACATAATGGAAACTGTAGCCTTGTCGGCTTTGCAAAAAGCTTCTGTTCATTGGATTCTTGTATCTTTCTGAACGCTCGTACATTTAAAAAAGCACTTAGCGCTTTCACGCTTTTCCGACGGGCAATTTTGATCTTCGCTGTACGTTTTGTATGACATTAAAATACTTGAAATGTCCGTCGGTGCGTTTGCTTTCAGTTGTGATCACAAGAAACAGCTTCTGTACGGTTAAGAGTGATCAACATCAATTTACATTCTCGCTATATATCCTATCACTGAACAGTATCAATCATAAAAGGCTGAAAATAGAGGAAACTGCTCAGCAGGCGAAAACATTGTGATTTCTAATCAAATTCTCCTCGTTAGCGCCAGATGAACGGTAAAGGAGTGAGTATGGAGAATGTACATGTTAATCTCACGCCATTTACAAGTGTTCCTGCAACAAGCAAAATTGATCTGATAAATGAAAAACGCGAAAGTTATGTCACTTTTGATGGATTTGGAGCCAGCAATATGACCCTTCGAAAACAAGAAAAACTGCGTTCTTCTCCAACTAGGCAACTACAGTACCCTAGTCTGAATCTTGTACCCTTATAACTGCAATAGGAAATCTGCAAGTAGCACTGTAAATCATACTAAAATGCTACCGATGCGACCGAAAACTTGTAATAGAATCATGAAATCAGACTGAAAGATCAAAACAAGGTAATATCCTGCGTGTCCTACGGCAGGTGAAAGACGTTTTTTCCAGAATGAAATGTACTTACATCCTCTTACTTGAGACATCACAAGAGTCCCAGGGACATTTTCAGGAGATCTCCATCAGTTTCAAACTTGACCCAAAAGTCATTTGACAAGATGGACCAAACAAACATTGTTTGGCCGGCCTATTGACGTTTAGAAATTCCATCAGGTCGTGTTTCTTTCGCAGGCAAGGTTAATTCAAGCTATTTCCAATCCAATCTTAAAATCAGGCTGTTAAATGTCCCCAAGGCCCATGACTAATAAAGAAAATTCTCCAACTTCAGAGGAAGAACCGTTTGGAACTTTATGGTCTATTTATCCACTGCATTAAAGAAAAGGAAAGTGCTATAGTAGACTAACTCGCGAAGTTGAATGTGGGAAAAAGCGTCCTGAGGGTCTCAAGGTGCGGAGAAGTTGATCCCAAGTAATACCAACAGTATAATCATAAATTTCGCTTGTTTCTTCGCACACGTCCTTTTTTCCCGTCTTTTTCTTACGCGAATGCATCCTTTTCTAAAAGTGCTTGTTTGGAGTCAAGAATTTCATAAAAGTATGAAGAAAAAAAATTATGCTGAGCAGCAAAACCCTCCCCGGGTCTAGCCTGCGAGCAAGGTCTCTCACTGCCCCACCCCACCCAATCGTCCCCCCAATCCCGGCAGCAAGAGACCTTGCTCGCAGGCTAGACCCTTCCCTTCCCTTCCCTTCCCCTCCCTTCCATCCCTCCCCTTCCCTTCCCTTCCCTCCCTCCTCCCATCCCTCCGCCCTCTACCTATCTACCTACCCCCCTATCTATCTATCTATCTGTATCTATCTATCTATCTATCTATCTATCTATCTATCTATCTATCTATCTATTTATCTATCTATCTATCTACCTACCCATCTACCTATCTACCTACCCGCCTCGCGCCTGCTGCCCTCCCCCCCGGCCCGCCCCCGGGCCGGTGTACCAACTTCCGCTTCCCATACCCTTCCCAAGGCCTTTTTTCTTCCCTCTCCTCGCCCCAAGCCCTCCCAGATCCAAGCCGGGCTTTTTTCTATTTTTTTCCTTTTTCATGCTAATCAGGCGGGACTCGAACCCGACACCTCTTTGTTTTCCAGTTAATTACCAATTCAATGCTTATGCCAATTGCGCTATCCCGGCTCGGTTACAAATTCAATGGTTTTTTTGTATGTTATTCATATGCAAATCAAATTCTTGCCCCTCATTGGCTGTTGAAAATAATGACATCATGAACCTTCGGCCCAGAGGTCCCTGAGGTTCCACAGGTCCAAGAACCAAAACAAACCAAAGTTTACCAAACATAATGGAAACTGTAGCCTTGTCGGCTTTGCAAAAAGCTTCTGTTCATTGGATTCTTGTATCTTTCTGAACGCTCGTACATTTAAAAAGCACTTAGCGCTTTCACGCTTTTCCGACGGGCAATTTTGATCTTCGCTGTACGTTTTGTATGACATTAAAATACTTGAAATGTCCGTCGGTGCGTTTGCTTTCAGTTGTGATCACAAGAAACAGCTTCTGTACGGTTAAGAGTGATCAACATCAATTTACATTCTCGCTATATATCCTATCACTGAACAGTATCAATCATAAAAGGCTGAAAATAGAGGAAACTGCTCAGCAGGCGAAAACATTGTGATTTCTAATCAAATTCTCCTCGTTAGCGCCAGATGAACGGTAAAGGAGTGAGTATGGAGAATGTACATGTTAATCTCACGCCATTTACAAGTGTTCCTGCAACAAGCAAAATTGATCTGATAAATGAAAAACGCGAAAGTTATGTCACTTTTGATGGATTTGGAGCCAGCAATATGACCCTTCGAAAACAAGAAAAAACTGCGTTCTTCTCCAACTAGGCAACTACAGTACCCTAGTCTGAATCTTGTACCCTTATAACTGCAATAGGAAATCTGCAAGTAGCACTGTAAATCATACTAAAATGCTACCGATGCGACCGAAAACTTGTAATAGAATCATGAAATCAGACTGAAAGATCAAAACAAGGTAATATCCTGCGTGTCCTACGGCAGGTGAAAGACGTTTTTCCAGAATGAAATGTACTTACATCCTCTTACTTGAGACATCACAAGAGTCCCAGGGACATTTCCAGGAGATCTCCATCAGTTTCAAACTTGACCCAAAAGTCATTTGACAAGATGGACCAAACAAACATTGTTTGGCCGGCCTATTGACGTTTAGAAATTCCATCAGGTCGTGTTTCTTTCGCAGGCAAGGTTAATTCAAGCTATTTCCAATCCAATCTTAAAATCAGGCTGTTAAATGTCCCCAAGGCCCATGACTAATAAAGAAAATTCTCCAACTTCAGAGGAAGAACCGTTTGGAACTTTATGGTCTATTTATCCACTGCATTAAAGAAAAGGAAAGTGCTATAGTAGACTAACTCGCGAAGTTGAATGTGGGAAAAAGCGTCCTGAGGGTCTCAAGGTGCGGAGAAGTTGATCCCAAGTAATACCAACAGTATAATCATAAATTTCGCTTGTTTCTTCGCACACGTCCTTTTTTCCCGTCTTTTTCTTACGCGAATGCATCCTTTTCTAAAAGTGCTTGTTTGGAGTCAAGAATTTCATAAAAGTATGAAGAAAAAAAATTATGCTGAGCAGCAAAACCCTCCCCGGGTCTAGCCTGCGAGCAAGGTCTCTCACTGCCCCACCCCACCCAATCGTCCCCCCAATCCCGGCAGCAAGAGACCTTGCTCGCAGGCTAGACCCTTCCCTTCCCCCTCCCATCCCTCCCCTTCCCTTCCCTTCCCTCCCTCCTCCCATCCCTCCGCCCTCTACCTATCTACCTACCCCCCTCTACGTATCTATCTATCTATCTATCTATCTATCTATCTATCTATCTATCTATCTATCTATCTATTTATCTATCTATCTATCTACCTACCCATCTACCTATCTACCTACCCGCCTCGCGCCTGCTGCCCTCCCCCCCGGCCCGCCCCCGGGCCGGTGTACCAACTTCCGCTTCCCATACCCTTCCCAAGGCCTTTTTTCTTCCCTCTCCTCGCCCCAAGCCCTCCCAGATCCAAGCCGGGCTTTTTTCTATTTTTTTCCTTTTTCATGCTAATCAGGCGGGACTCGAACCCGACACCTCTTTGTTTTCCAGTTAATTACCAATTCAATGCTTATGCCAATTGCGCTATCCCGGCTCGGTTACAAATTCAATGGTTTTTTTGTATGTTATTCATATGCAAATCAAATTCTTGCCCCTCATTGGCTGTTGAAAATAATGACATCATGAACCTTCGGCCCAGAGGTCCCTGAGGTTCCACAGGTCCAAGAACCAAAACAAACCAAAGTTTACCAAACATAATGGAAACTGTAGCCTTGTCGGCTTTGCAAAAAGCTTCTGTTCATTGGATTCTTGTATCTTTCTGAACGCTCGTACATTTAAAAAAAGCACTTAGCGCTTTCACGCTTTTCCGACGGGCAATTTTGATCTTCGCTGTACGTTTTGTATGACATTAAAATACTTGAAATGTCCGTCGGTGCGTTTGCTTTCAGTTGTGATCACAAGAAACAGCTTCTGTACGGTTAAGAGTGATCAACATCAATTTACATTCTCGCTATATATCCTATCACTGAACAGTATCAATCATAAAAGGCTGAAAATAGAGGAAACTGCTCAGCAGGCGAAAACATTGTGATTTCTAATCAAATTCTCCTCGTTAGCGCCAGATGAACGGTAAAGGAGTGAGTATGGAGAATGTACATGTTAATCTCACGCCATTTACAAGTGTTCCTGCAACAAGCAAAATTGATCTGATAAATGAAAAACGCGAAAGTTATGTCACTTTTGATGGATTTGGAGCCAGCAATATGACCCTTCGAAAACAAGAAAAACTGCGTTCTTCTCCAACTAGGCAACTACAGTACCCTAGTCTGAATCTTGTACCCTTATAACTGCAATAGGAAATCTGCAAGTAGCACTGTAAATCATACTAAAATGCTACCGATGCGACCGAAAACTTGTAATAGAATCATGAAATCAGACTGAAAGATCAAAACAAGGTAATATCCTGCGTGTCCTACGGCAGGTGAAAGACGTTTTTCCAGAATGAAATGTACTTACATCCTCTTACTTGAGACATCACAAGAGTCCCAGGGACATTTCCAGGAGATCTCCATCAGTTTCAAACTTGACCCAAAAGTCATTTGACAAGATGGACCAAACAAACATTGTTTGGCCGGCCTATTGACGTTTAGAAATTCCATCAGGTCGTGTTTCTTTCGCAGGCAAGGTTAATTCAAGCTATTTCCAATCCAATCTTAAAATCAGGCTGTTAAATGTCCCCAAGGCCCATGACTAATAAAGAAAATTCTCCAACTTCAGAGGAAGAACCGTTTGGAACTTTATGGTCTATTTATCCACTGCATTAAAGAAAAGGAAAGTGCTATAGTAGACTAACTCGCGAAGTTGAATGTGGGAAAAAGCGTCCTGAGGGTCTCAAGGTGCGGAGAAGTTGATCCCAAGTAATACCAACAGTATAATCATAAATTTCGCTTGTTTCTTCGCACACGTCCTTTTTTCCCGTTCTTTTCTTACGCGAATGCATCCTTTTCTAAAAGTGCTTGTTTGGAGTCAAGAATTTCATAAAAGTATGAAGAAAAAAAATTATGCTGAGCAGCAAAACCCTCCCCGGGTCTAGCCTGCGAGCAAGGTCTCTCACTGCCCCACCCCACCCAATCGTCCCCCCAATCCCGGCAGCAAGAGACCTTGCTCGCAGGCTAGACCCCCCTCCCTTCCCTTCCCTTCCCCCTCCCATCCCCCCCCTTCCCTTCCCTTCCCTCCCATCCTCCCTCCTCCCATCCCTCCGCCCTCTACCTATCTACCTACCCCCTATCTATCTATCTATCTATCTATCTATCTATCTATCTATCTATCTATCTATCTATCTATTTATCTATCTATCTATCTACCTACCCATCTACCTATCTACCTACCCGCCTCGCGCCTGCTGCCCTCCCCCCCGGCCCGCCCCCGGGCCGGTGTACCAACTTCCGCTTCCCATACCCTTCCCAAGGCCTTTTTTCTTCCCTCTCCTCGCCCCAAGCCCTCCCAGATCCAAGCCGGGCTTTTTTCTATTTTTTTCCTTTTTCATGCTAATCAGGCGGGACTCGAACCCGACACCTCTTTGTTTTCCAGTTAATTACCAATTCAATGCTTATGCCAATTGCGCTATCCCGGCTCGGTTACAAATTCAATGGTTTTTTTGTATGTTATTCATATGCAAATCAAATTCTTGCCCCTCATTGGCTGTTGAAAATAATGACATCATGAACCTTCGGCCCAGAGGTCCCTGAGGTTCCACAGGTCCAAGAACCAAAACAAACCAAAGTTTACCAAACATAATGGAAACTGTAGCCTTGTCGGCTTTGCAAAAAGCTTCTGTTCATTGGATTCTTGTATCTTTCTGAACGCTCGTACATTTAAAAAAAGCACTTAGCGCTTTCACGCTTTTCCGACGGGCAATTTTGATCTTCGCTGTACGTTTTGTATGACATTAAAATACTTGAAATGTCCGTCGGTGCGTTTGCTTTCAGTTGTGATCACAAGAAACAGCTTCTGTACGGTTAAGAGTGATCAACATCAATTTACATTCTCGCTATATATCCTATCACTGAACAGTATCAATCATAAAAGGCTGAAAATAGAGGAAACTGCTCAGCAGGCGAAAACATTGTGATTTCTAATCAAATTCTCCTCGTTAGCGCCAGATGAACGGTAAAGGAGTGAGTATGGAGAATGTACATGTTAATCTCACGCCATTTACAAGTGTTCCTGCAACAAGCAAAATTGATCTGATAAATGAAAAACGCGAAAGTTATGTCACTTTTGATGGATTTGGAGCCAGCAATATGACCCTTCGAAAACAAGAAAAACTGCGTTCTTCTCCAACTAGGCAACTACAGTACCCTAGTCTGAATCTTGTACCCTTATAACTGCAATAGGAAATCTGCAAGTAGCACTGTAAATCATACTAAAATGCTACCGATGCGACCGAAAACTTGTAATAGAATCATGAAATCAGACTGAAAGATCAAAACAAGGTAATATCCTGCGTGTCCTACGGCAGGTGAAAGACGTTTTTTCCAGAATGAAATGTACTTACATCCTCTTACTTGAGACATCACAAGAGTCCCAGGGACATTTCCAGGAGATCTCCATCAGTTTCAAACTTGACCCAAAAGTCATTTGACAAGATGGACCAAACAAACATTGTTTGGCCGGCCTATTGACGTTTAGAAATTCCATCAGGTCGTGTTTCTTTCGCAGGCAAGGTTAATTCAAGCTATTTCCAATCCAATCTTAAAATCAGGCTGTTAAATGTCCCCAAGGCCCATGACTAATAAAGAAAATTCTCCAACTTCAGAGGAAGAACCGTTTGGAACTTTATGGTCTATTTATCCACTGCATTAAAGAAAAGGAAAGTGCTATAGTAGACTAACTCGCGAAGTTGAATGTGGGAAAAAGCGTCCTGAGGGTCTCAAGGTGCGGAGAAGTTGATCCCAAGTCATAACAACAGTATAATCATAAATTTCGCTTGTTTCTTCGCACACGTCCTTTTTTCCCGTCTTTTTCTTACGCGAATGCATCCTTTTCTAAAAGTGCTTGTTTGGAGTCAAGAATTTTATAAAAGTATGAAGAAAAAAAATTATGCTGAGCAGCAAAACCCTCCCCGGGTCTAGCCTGCGAGCAAGGTCTCTCACTGCCCCACCCCACCCAATCGTCCCCCCAATCCCGGCAGCAAGAGACCTTGCTCGCAGGCTAGACCCCCCTCCCTTCCCTTCCCTCCCCCCTCCCATCCCTCCCCTTCCCTTCCCTCCCTCCTCCCATCCCTCCGCCCTCTACCTATCTACCTACCCCCCTCTACGTATCTACCTATCTATCTATCTATCTATCTATCTATCTATCTATCTATCTATCTATTTATCTATCTATCTATCTACCTACCCATCTACCTATCTACCTACCCGCCTCGCGCCTGCTGCCCTCCCCCCCGGCCCGCCCCCGGGCCGGTGTACCAACTTCCGCTTCCCATACCCTTCCCAAGGCCTTTTTTCTTCCCTCTCCTCGCCCCAAGCCCTCCCAGATCCAAGCCGGGCTTTTTTCTATTTTTTTCCTTTTTCATGCTAATCAGGCGGGACTCGAACCCGACACCTCTTTGTTTTCCAGTTAATTACCAATTCAATGCTTATGCCAATTGCGCTATCCCGGCTCGGTTACAAATTCAATGGTTTTTTGTATGTTATTCATATGCAAATCAAATTCTTGCCCCTCATTGGCTGTTGAAAATAATGACATCATGAACCTTCGGCCCAGAGGTCCCTGAGGTTCCACAGGTCCAAGAACCAAAACAAACCAAAGTTTACCAAACATAATGGAAACTGTAGCCTTGTCGGCTTTGCAAAAAGCTTCTGTTCATTGGATTCTTGTATCTTTCTGAACGCTCGTACATTTAAAAAAGCACTTAGCGCTTTCACGCTTTTCCGACGGGCAATTTTGATCTTCGCTGTACGTTTTGTATGACATTAAAATACTTGAAATGTCCGTCGGTGCGTTTGCTTTCAGTTGTGATCACAAGAAACAGCTTCTGTACGGTTAAGAGTGATCAACATCAATTTACATTCTCGCTATATATCCTATCACTGAACAGTATCAATCATAAAAGGCTGAAAATAGAGGAAACTGCTCAGCAGGGGAAAACATTGTGATTTCTAATCAAATTCTCCTCGTTAGCGCCAGATGAACGGTAAAGGAATGAGTATGGAGAATGTACATGTTAATCTCACGCCATTTACAAGTGTTCCTGCAACAAGCAAAATTGATCTGATAAATGAAAAACGCGAAAGTTATGTCACTTTTGATGGATTTGGAGCCAGCAATATGACCCTTCGAAAA